ACCTGAGCCAGAGATAATTGAGGGCCTCTCTAGTCAAGGAGTTACAGATGCACGACGAATCACTATCCGCCGTGATGGTGTGGAACGGAAGACAAAACACATCATTTTGACTTTCGATTCAACCACTCTGCCACAGACTGTAAAAGCAGGTTACCTTCAGTGCCGTGTCCGACCTTATGTGCCGAACCCTCAACGGTGCTTTAAGTGCCAGAGGTTCGGCCATGGGTCACGGAACTGTCGGGGAAGGGACACCTGTGCAAAGTGCTCCAGCAAGGAGCACGTCACAGATGCGTGCAATAATGAGCCCCATTGCGCAAACTGTGGTGGCAACCACCCGGCATACTCCCGCTCTTGCCCTGTGTGGAAAGACGAGAAAGAAGTTGTTACATTAAAAGTCACTGAAAACATCACGTATACTGAGGCAAAGAAGCGTTTTGCCTTTGTTTCAAAAGGCACTTATGCTGAGGCCGTGCGGAGGGGACCAGCTCGGCCAATGGTTTCGATGGGAACGCAGACGTCTCCGGACGACCTGCATCTCCCATCACGGTCCCCCTCGAAACCCCCGGGAGCGGCGCCGGTGGCACCGCCTCCGAACCGCAAGGTGAATGCTGCCTTGCCAGCATCCACCCCAGAACAGGAGATGACGTCTCCTGCTCAACCAGCTGCTTCGACCTCTCGGGGTCGGGGCCTACCTCCCCACACCTCTGCTCCCCAGAGGAAGCCTGGGGAAGTGCCAAAGCAGTCGACCTCCAAGGGCCAGCTGCCAGCAACTGCAGACGAGCCCATGGATGAGGGTGGGTCGAGATCTTATGAGGAGGCTCTCCTCTCAAGATCAGAGTCCACCCCCTCTGCCTCCGGTGACTCTAATCGGAGGCAGAATAACCCCCCCAAAAAACAAAGTGCACCGCGTGTAAAAATAGATTTTAAACCGTAAGGAATATAGCTTTTTAGTAGAATTTGTATGTTATACTTATTTTGTTTTAAATGGTTAAAAATATAGGTATAATGCAGTGGAACTGCCGCGGTCTTTTACGAAATATTGATGATGTCAACTTTTTTCTCGATGAGCTCCAGCCTGTTGCCATCTGTTTACAGGAGACTCATCTTAATGAAACACATACACAGGTATTACGGCGACATCAGGTTTTTAGAAAGGACCGTGTTTCTTGCAACAGCTCTTCTGGTGGAGTAGCTGTGGTTGTGCAGAGTGGTATTGCCTGTGCTCCTGTCCCTCTTGCGACCCACTTAGAGGCAGTAGCAGTTCGTGTTCTGCTTGACCGCCTAATTACAATTGTCTCGCTTTACCTTCCACCAAACCTTCCAGTGCATGTACATGACCTGCAAGGACTTGTGGGCCAACTCCCGCAACCTTTTTTAATCTTAGGAGATTTTAATGCACACCACCCCATGTGGGGCAGTGGTCGTCAAGACTCCCGTGGTGGTGTCATAGAACGTTTTTTACTGTCATCTGGCCTTTGCCTTTTAAACAAGAGACAACCGACTTTTTTTAGTGCACCTCATAATACTTTTACTTCCATTGATCTTTCCATATCATCACCTGCTTTACTTCCTTGTTTTTCTTGGAAGGTTTTAGAAAATCCTTTTGGTAGTGACCATTTTCCTGTAATTTTAGAAAGTTCAGTATCCCTTCCTTCTCTTCGAGCTTGTGCTCCCAAGTGGAAATTAGATAAAGCCGACTGGTCTTTATTTTCTCTGGAGGCAGCCGTCGATCCCGCTGTTTTTTTAGCTATGTCTCCTGAGGAAGCGACTCTTTACCTTACTGAAAAAATTATAAATGCTGCTTCTCTGTCAGTTCCCCGAACTTCTGGAAATATTCCCAAGAAATGCAGGCCTTGGTGGAACAAGGACTGTACGACCACCATAAAAGCTCAGAATAAGGCTTGGGGAAGGTTTCGGCGGTACCCGACTGTTCAGAACAAGATTAAATTCAAACAGTGCAAAGCAAAAGCTTGTTGGACACGAAAACAAGCCAAGAGGACCTCATGGGTAAAATATGTATCCTCTCTGAACAGTTTTGTTCCTGCAAAAGAGGTATGGGATCGTGTTCGGAAAATTCGGGGTACTTACCACTCCTTCAGTATTCCCCTTTTTCCTTCATCATCCCCATCACTAAAAGATCAGGCTGACATTCTTGCTGATCATTTTCGAGAGGTCTCCAGTTCTTCAAATTACAGTACTAAATTTAAAAAGTTCAGGTCTTTGGCAGAAAAACAGCCAATTGATTTCTCTGGAAGTGATACTGGTTACAACCGGCCGTTCACAATGTATGAACTTGAAATAGCCCTTGCAGTAAGGAAACAGTCAGCACCTGGCCCAGATATGATTCATTATGAACTGCTGAGGCACTTGTCGGCTGAATCCTTGATGAATTTGTTGTCTTTCTTTAATCATTTATGGGCAGCTTCTTGTTTTCCACAGTGCTGGAAGCAAGCACACATCATTCCCATCTTGAAGCCTGGCAAAGACCCTTCCCTACCAGCAAGTTATCGGCCTATCGCTTTGACTAGTTGTCTAGGAAAAACTTATGAACGGCTTATAAACAGAAGGCTAGTATACATTCTAGAACAAAAGAAAATTTTCGATAAAAACCAGTGTGGTTTTAGAAGAGGTCGCTCAACCTTGGATCACCTTGTCCGGTTAGAGACTTTTGTTCGTGAGGCTTTTGTGAACCGGCAGCATTGCCTTTCTGTCTTTTTTGATTTACAGAAAGCTTATGATACGGCATGGCGGTACGGAATACTTCAGGACCTGTATAGGTGCGGTGTTCGAGGTCGCATGCTGCGTTGCATAAAGGACTTCTTGACAGACCGTTGTTTTCAGGTCCGCCTGGGATCCACGCTCTCGGATGTTTTTACACAGGAAAACGGCGTCCCACAGGGAGGTGTCTTGAGTGTTACCTTGTTCGCAATTAAGATCAACAGCCTCGCTGCAGTTATACCATCATCAGTTTTTTATTCATTGTACGTAGACGATGTCCAGATTGCTTTCTCCTCATGCAACTTGTCAATTTGTGAGCGCCAATTGCAGATAGCAATAAATAGGATGAGTAAGTGGGCTGATGAAAATGGTTTTCGGTTTGCACCAGAAAAAACAGTGTGCGTGCCTTTTTCATTACGTCGGGGGTTGTCGCTAGATCCCAGCTTGCAGATGAATGGCACTGACATAACCGTTAGGCATGAACACAAGTTTTTGGGTGTTATTTTTGATAAGAAGCTCACTTTTCAGCCCCATCTAAAGGAACTGAAGCGAAAGTGTCTTAAATCTGCCAATGTTCTCAAGGTACTTGCACACGTCTCCTGGGGTTCTGACAGGAGATGCCTCCTGCGACTCTACAACTCGCTGGTTCGTTCCCGTCTCGATTATGGTGCAGTTGTATATGGCTCGGCACGACCGTCATCTTTAAAAATGCTGGATCCTGTGCATCACCTTGGGCTTCGACTTGCCACGGGGGCCTTCCGAACGTCGCCTGTTCCGAGTTTGTATGCAGAGACGCACCAAATGCCACTAGAAAAGCGAAGACAGTTCCTCAGCCTATGCTATAGTTATAAAGTCAAATCTGATCCTGAACACCCATCCTATCGTTGCTTGCAGGTATCTCCTTTTTCACGTCTTTTTGAGAACAAGCCAAGTATAGTACGGCCTTTATGCCTCCGCATTCAATGCATGTCTACATCCCTGCAACTTGCGCTCCCTGAGCGTAGCTTGATGACGAGAGTTCGAAGCATTGCTCCTTGGAAGGCGGTTCACTATACCTGTGACTGGTCGCTAGCGAAATACAATAAGCGATCTGTTGCACCACTAGTTCTTCAGCAAGAGTTTATGGCCTTGCAAGCTAAGTATAAGGACTATGCACAATTCTTCACTGATGGTGCAAAAACTCCACACTTTGTCGGTTCAGCTGTATATTCAGAACACTTTGTAAAAGCTCGACGGCTTCACTCTGTTGCCAGCATTTTTACTGCAGAACTTTATGGTGTGCTCATGGTTATTGAATATATATTAGGCAACAACATCAAAAAAGCTATTTTGTTTGTGGACTCCCAGAGTGCTATCCTTTCTCTCTGTTCCCTCAATGATTCTAAGAATCTGCTCGTGCAACAAGTACAGGCAGAGTTAAACCTGGCTTTCCAAATGGGATACAATATCAAGCTGTGCTGGGTACCAAGCCATGTGGGAATTTCAGGTAATGAAAAGGCGGATAGGCTAGCAGCCTCCGTTAAGGATGCTCTGGAAACACCTGTTCAGCTGCCTCAAGAAGATTTTAAACCGGTTCTCAAAAAAGCAGTTTATTATGCCTGGCAGCAAGACTGGGACAAAGAAATAAATAATAAGCTACATGTTATCAAACCACGTTTGGAGTTATGGGAGAGTTCGCACCATAGAGACCGTCGCCATGAAGTCTTAATGTGTCGCTTGAGAATTGGACATTCACGTATCACCCATCGACATCTTCTTTGTGGTGAGGACACCCCAGTCTGTGAGCATTGCGGTGAATCGCTAACTATACTGCATATTCTATGGCACTGCAAATTTTTTGATCAGGAACGCCGGACGAGTTTTCCTTTACTTTCTGGATATCTTCCATTTCATCCAGTCTTCTTACTGGGAGATGAACCTTTAGTTCCTTTTGATCACATTTTAGATTTTCTTAAAAAAACTGGCTACCTGCACCAGTTATAGATCCTCTGCATAGTGCATTGCATAGTAATTCCTTCCTTCTACTATAGAGTCTTTTAATTATCTCTTTGGCGCAGCATGGCCTATGTTGCTTTTTGCGCCATTAAACACCTAATAATCAATCAATCAACCTCTGGGCCGCTGAAGGGAGTATTGGGGTTGTCTGAACTCTGGTTCATCAATACGGCACACTTTAAAAGCTCTGTTTATTAATGGGAGTTCAGCTTGCTGATTACAGTTTTGTCCTGTGCTAACGACTGTGCCGATGGTTCACCATCTGTTTCCTTTGTCTCCATTTTCAGAGAGGATTCAGACGATGACCTAGACCATGCTGCACAATTCAGAGAGGTAGGCTGGCTCAAATTCATCTTGGTATAGCAAAAAAAAAAAAAAAAAAAAAAATAGTGCAAAAGAATTTTTTATTTTGGATAACTTGTTTTTGGAATAAGCTTCTTGTGTCCATAAAACAAAAAAAAGCAGGTGTCCATTTTTTTTTTCTTCATGGGCTTTTGGTGTTTGCAGGATAAAAGCACCAACGGGGCTGAAATTCCTTTTTTCCTCGAACAAACAGTTGTTTGCTTGTGGCACGCAGTGTCGCAAGTGTAATAAATCCCCAAAACCAGCAGTCACTCGTGGCACTGGAAGAATTACCGGAATGTCACGACGAGGTTACAATAACAGAATCTTGGGAGCAAAAGAAGAATTGCCCGCTTCTATTTTCTCGTTCCTCCGATCTTGGAAACTGCGTTGCCAATACAAACACCGATATCGACAAAAGCCGGTATAGACCTTTTCTGTTTACGCTTGTCTCCCAGCCACGTAATTCATTAACCCGGTAAGGGGGAGGAAAAAAAAAAAACGGAGGCATTACAATTTGGGAAATGTAAAAATATCATGGAGGTAGGTAACTTCTGGAGGCAACATGAGGCCACCAGAGATGAAGCCTGAAGTGTGGAGGAACACGCCCCAGACGAACCAAGAGACGTCTAGGATGAAAAGAAGACCTGACTCAACAGCTGTTTTGGTCACCCTCAGGGGGCCCTGAGGGTAACCAAAACAGCTGTTGAGTCAGGTCTCCTTTTCCTCCATTAGCGTCTCTTGGTTCGTTTGGGGCATGTCCCTCCACACTTCGGGCTTCATCTCTGGTGGCCTCATGTCGCCTCCGGAAGTGTCCTACCTCCATGCAAAATATAGTAGAGGCAAGACAAGAACAAGCGACCGTAGCGATTGAAACGAAGAAGCGGCAAATGCACTGGTCGGAGACGCTACGGACGCCGTGGCGAAAACACCGGTGTTCCCGTCTTGTCGCAGCTGTGGAACAACACGATAATGGACGTGCTGCGGCGGCTGGACCGGGCCCCCGGGGAAGAGGGCGGCGTCCAGCTGCTCCACGACGCGCCGTCATCGTCCGCCTCTGACGTGCTCCTGCGCCAGCGGGGGCCGCCTTCGCGCACAGCGGGCCGGGTGGGACGCAGGCCGCACCCGGACAACCAGGCCAGGCAGCCGCTCGAGGGGTGAGCGTCGTGCCGGACGTCGGCCAGGTGGCGCAGTCCACCACCTGATCGGAAGGGTTGTGTTGCGTCTGTCCGTCCGCCCTTTGCTTTCTGCTTTGGGGACTGTGGTGCATTTTCCATTCCCCCTTGCCCTGTTTCTATAGGAGCGGCCTCTCTAATCGTTGGAATGCCTTTTAGCTTTTCTCGAAAATGTGGACACTTTACTCAAACTGTAGCCGGCCCGTTCACACACTTGCGTGTGACTCTGACCGACTGGGACAAGACCGGTTTTTGAGCCTTTTGGGACGGCCTACGACCAGACGCGCACCAATGCTGCTGGTCGTGAGCCATCACGAGAGGCTTAAAAACCGGTCTTGTCTCGATTGGTCGGAATCAAGTGCAAATGTGTGAACGAGCCATTACAGTTATAACATACCTTTACTAATGTTCTTTAATGTATTAAGTCTGGCAAAGTATGGCCGGTGCTACTTTTGCTCGATGAAGCCCGCAACTAGCAACTGCTTTGGGGACTGTATACGTGAGGACTGGGCAGCTAATTGTGGTTGTGCTAACTGCATATGAGAATTTGCCTTAGTAGTTTCAAGACGTAGCTTTCAGCAGACTTGATTTACTGAAAGCCCAGAGTTTCCAAAGTTTTGGCATATGCCATTAAAAAGGCTGAGAATTAATATAAGCACTTTATCGTCTTTATGACTGGGTCCCCCCCTAAGTTTGTATCTTGCGGCGCTAAAGGCTGTATTTTGAATGTTCAGTTTATTTATGTTCACAAAACAGTGTGGCTATATGTTGGGACATCGGTCAGCTTCTCTTTTCTCTACTCGGATTGTTTTGTCAATATATAAATGCGCCAGCAGGCCGTTTCTCGATTCTACAAAATGACCCAGTCCCTAAGAAAATAAACATTTTTGTTTCTGGTTTCTGTTAGTAATAAGCTTTTGAAAAGAAACTAACAAAAATTCTGGAATGTGTCACCCAGGTAATTGTGTGCAACAACATTTTTAGGACTTGCTTCTGCTACTTGGTTGTGTTATTGTGGAAAGTTACGAGTGCAGCTTATAACTGGTTACTACACTATACAAGGAAGTGTCTTGTAAAGTTTCTCGTGCCTTTCGTGTTTACCCGTAACAGCTCATAAGATGGGAAATTTCAGCATGGAAGCATTATTACGAGAACTGGGGTGTGCAGTGAGAAGGCCCACAAAGACTGGAAACGGCAATGTTTAAAAATACTTGGACTCTCAAGAAGTCAAGTAGATGGCTACCATAATGTTCCAGTGTGTTCTTTTCCCTGAAGGGTTTTAAAGACTAATTCCTGCAATGAAATGACCACATTTGGTTGTAGATAACTCTTGCACTAAAATGGCATATTGAAAGAAAGTGTGTGCTTCATTCTTTGCATAAATTTGCACTAGTGCTTAGAGTGCAGTAGTTTAGTGCTAAGGCATTCCAGCTGCTGAGATAGTTGCATGTTGACACTGCCAACTGGCCAAGCTCCTAGCCAGGCTAGCCTAGCCACAGACAGAACGCCGCAAATGTTGCAAGGTGTGTTGGAAACTGGCAGTAGCTCTTTCTAGAGCACTTGTCATCGATGAGTCAGTTATCTAGAACAAGAGGTGTACTAGTTCATTTCTTGTTCTAGATAAATGATAGCCTGTAAGTGATAACAAGCATGCTGCATCTTTTACATTTATTAATCATCCTATTTAGCTTCATTTTAAATGTACTGCTTATTTCAATCTTAATTTCAGCAGGAAAGAGTTGTCCGCGGTGGTGACTTGTTCGAATTAAATTTTTTCCCCTAACATTTGTTTGAATTCAGTTTTTTTTCCATACATTTTATTGTAAATTTAGCGCATGTTTGCTTCTTAAACAACTACATGCTTCGAACTGATGAAATTTGTTTTCATGTCCCGCATACTTTGTGTATGGTACCTCATGTTGGTTTTAAGCTTATCAAGAGTCAATGAATCTGTTCTTGACAGCGTGATATATTCCTTGAAAGGCAATCTACAGATTTTTCGAGCAGCCTTGAAAAGCTTTTAATATGGTTGCATGTTCTTTTTGTGTTTCCAGGATTATTCACCAAATCTTTGCAAATCTGACGGGGGCCGGTGGTAAGTTTCCTTCCACTAGCAGTCTTAGTGTAAGGTTGGCTTAAATGGGACTCTTTTCTGAACTTGCAGTCTAAGACAGTTTTAAACATAGGTTCTGTTATGTGTTTTGTAATGATTTGAAGTCTAAAAATAACTTTATCATAGAAATGCTTTGCATGCCACATATTTGCAAGATTTAGTTTGTAGTTAAAAAACCCTTAATTAACTTCTAAGGGACATTAAAGTGTAATTTTAAGTTTTGTGCTGATGATGGATATTTGTTGAAGGTATGCGCATAGAGCAGTTGATACAGTTATTTGAGACAGGTAGCGCAGCATCAATACTCCGTGTAAAGGTCCCGTTAAATAAACATTGCAGTGAAAATTTTCAAAACTTTTTTGTGACTTTTTGGTTTATTTGGATGCTTAAAAAAAGTTTTTTTGGGAGTTTAGTGCCCCTTTAAATTAGAAGCATGTCTTGGACAGTCTCCAGACTAGGTGTCTAAAGTCATTAGGGCATAGTAAAGTGAATCTTTTTTCTCTCTGCAGGTCTTATCTCTGGCCAGGGTCTTCCAGTGTGAGTAGATCCAGTTAAGCTAGTTCCATGTTTAGGTAGTAAGTCAGTTGTGGTGACTAAATTACTGTAATTACTCCTTTGAGTACCCTGTAACTATAATCTAATACTTTTGTCTAAAAGTAATTGAAATTATAATTTCACTTTTTAGCTTCGAAATGTAAATTGAAATGGAAGCTATGGCACTGTTGTAGTGATCTTTTAATGCCGGAGCTCATTCTGATGCAGTCACTGAAAGGCATAAAAGTGCTGGGCATCTGCCTCATATATGCGTGGAACATGTTTTTGGCAAGGTTGGCTTGGTGAGAATGCTAGACATGGAAGCAAGGTGTGAAAGCGACATACAAAAGTGTTATGACTAAGAGAACTACGTAATGCTCCTGCTGCAGCAGGGCTTCTTCATGGGTGGCACCTCACCCCCAGTGGCTGAAGTAGATGATAGTGCTACCATAACTACAACCAATGGTGCTCTTGTCCGAATTCGCAGTGCAAGTCTCTATACATAAATTTTGGGATTAAAAACAATGCAAAGGATGAAGGGCCAGACGAAGAAGTAACACGGAAGCAGCGCTTCTTCTTCGTCTGGTCCTTCACATTTTGCTCTGTTTTTAATCCCGAAGTATGTCGCACCAACTAGCCTAAGCCTCAACTTTAGCATCTTACATAAACGATTGCACCGAGATTTACAAACCAGAAAACATATTTCGTGCATGAAGATTTTGTTGGGCATGACCGAAGTATTGTTTTTTCTCGTTTCTTAGGGACATTGGTAAAGGCTTTGAGAGTGTGTTTGCATTGGGCATTTTACAGATGACACAATATTATTTAGCAAAATCTGAAGTAGATCTAACAAAAAAAAAAAAGAAAAGCATTAAAAACAAGTTGCAATGAATGGCAAATGCTATTAAAGACAAATAAGACAGTTATTGTGACCACAACTAAAAATGGAACCCCTCTGCATTTTCACTGTCAGGTTAGAAAGCATAAGTACCTGCTTTAACCTCTCATGGAATCTATTTATTGATCAAATAAACAAGAAGATCATGCTATGCCTCTGGATTTTACCGAGACCTCTTAAGACGCATCACCTCCAGCAAAAACAACTGCATTCATAAGGCCCATCCAACCAGCTGTAGTGCTGTGTGGGAACCCTGCACACAACAAAATATACTTACTATTGAAGCTCCAGAAGATAAGAGTAAGGTACTCCACTTTGTTTATAGTGACTATAAAGCAACCAGCTCAGTTAGAGTTGCGACATAGGGTTGGATTTCAAGTACGGTAATAGAAATTTGCATTAAGGTAAGTCTTTAGATGTTCTTTTCATTTAATAATGATGTCCAAAAGTTTAACGAAGAAAGGTATAAACATTCGTAGGATAGGCTCGGCACCCTATCCTACAAAAAGCTAGATGAAATGCAGCTGTGAAATATGTACGATTGAATGCTAAAATGCATGCGACGAGTCCTTGTTTGGTGGGGCAAGTAATTAAGGGGAAATGCGGGTAAAAAAACAGCAGTATTTTGCAAAAGTTTGTTTTGGGTTTTATGTCCTTTTATTATTTTTAAATCCTTATGTTTGATGTACGAAAATGAGCACAGGTTACGATTCCAAAATTAGACAAATACGCATTTGAAGACTTCCAGGCAACCCAGAACGGCATGAATTCGAGCCATTTTTCTCTGTGTGATTCTTCAAGCTGTGACTTTGCCCGCCATCACATTGACATTGACAAGTAGGACTAGCAGTCTGCTCTCCTTGGCCGTCTTCTGTAGCTTTAATTTCTCGCGAAAATTTATTAACAAATTATTATATTCTGCACCGCGAAAGAGTATAGCTACACATCTATGGTAACATTCGAACACATTTTTCTTTTTATGTAATTTTGGGGCATCTTTACATTCTGTGCGGAAGAATTTTTTTTCTTAATATTGTCCTATCATGACCAAATTTGGCATGTACAGTGTAGACCGCATATAATGTATGTTGCGGGAGTCGCGAAAATCCGCACTATAAGCGGTACCGCGCTATAACCAAAATATCAATTTTTCCGGCCAAAATACACGCCATGAAACAACTTACCTTTGTAAAAGAATTTATTTTATGTTAGATGAAAAATAAAGCTTAGTTTGAGGAAATTCTTTATTTCACCAGACTAGTACACTTCTCTCTCAAGTGTGTCACACATTTTGAACGAAATGAGCGACTTTTGCCTGGCGCAGTCTTTTAACGGCGTCGTAAGTTGCGTACGGACGTTGCAAGCGTTCAGGATTGCGAACCCTAAGCACTTTTCTCCGGTGATGAAAACGCGTGAAAATTCGCATCCTTTTTTTTTTTTTTTTTCTTTATTTGATTTGCGGATAACTTTTCCGCATAGGGGGCAGAGATAAAGGCGTAATGCCTGACAGAGCCTCTGCCCCCTATAGTTCAGCATAATACATGAAAAAAATGCATGCAATACAGCAAAAATAAAACTAGAATAAAACAAACAGAAAGTATCAAGAAACTTGAACAGCGTATGGCGCAATGGCCATGAATAATCTGAACTAACAGCATCAAATAATATTGAACGGATAAATGAAAATAACAGAAATAACTACAGCATATGTCATAACACAAAATTCACTTGAAACTATCATGAAACTAGTACGAAAGAACTAATATCGGGAAATTGAGTAAAAAATAAACTATACTGAAAGTGCCACAAAAACTGAACAATATGTATATACACACGCATTTACATACTCATATATACATGCATACATATACACTGTAGACAAAGAGACATAGACATTGAAATGCACTCACTTGTGGAAAATTTGGTCTAGAAAAATATAAAAAGGCAGAAAAAGCTTTTTAGCATTTACAGTGTCAGAAATAAGATCAAATAATTACAAAATAGTACAAAATAAGCTTTGAAGTGCGTATCGTTAGTATAAAAGGTCTCAAGTTGATGAAAAAGCAATACCACTACCCACCAGGAATCTTCTGCATTCATTTTTGAATTTATAAAAAGGTTTGTCAAAGTCTATGTTTATATCGTTTCTATTTAAAGTTTTTGATACCTGAAAAGTTATTGTTTGCCTGCCATAGTTAGTCCTGATAGCAGGCATCTTTCGCTTTGGGTCTCGAAAGGTGTACACACTCAAGCTGTCTGTTGGTGTAATGTATAATTTGTTCATATAAATCCATTGCAGGAGTTTGAAGTAGTATACCTGGTCTGCTTTCAGCATATTATATTTTATGAAGAGTGGTTGTGTACGTAGATTTCTTTTATCCCCTTTAAAATTTTCGCACATACGTAATATTTTTTTCTGCAAGATTACTAGCTTATTATAGTTCGAAGCTGTAGTTGTTCCCCAAATTAAGATTCCATAGCTGATTTTCGAGTAAAATAGGGAATAATATAATGTTTGTTTCAGCCAGATGGGTAGAAGGTTTTGTATTTTATATATGCTACCAGTAACGCGTGATAATTCTGCTTTCAGTTTGTTAATATGAGTATTCCATGAGAGGTCCTCTGTGAACCATACGCCTAGAAATTTTTGTTCCACCACTTGTTCCAGCAAGGTACCTTCAAACAATATGTTGATACAGCTACAGTCTCGCCTATTGGCCGGTTTAAAAATAACATACTTGGTTTTACTAGTATTTAGGCTTAAACGATTGATTTGTAACCATGTTGATAGTTTTAATAGGTAAGTATTAGCTGACAGTTCCAAGCACTTTTTTGTCACTCCCGTAAAAAACACATTAGTATCATCGGCATACATTATTATATGGTATGCGCCAGTAATACCTTCAACTTGAGCACAGGCATGAAATGCTCCAAATAAGAAATCCAGACGATGTTCGAAAACACAAATGCTTAGAAATACCACTGTAGTCGAAGTAAACAAACGTGACGACACGGGCGTTTCTGCCGTCTTGAGAGTGCCGCCACGACATCGCCGCACGAGTAGGTGGACCTTCCCTTCTAGTACATGCAGGGTTATCATAGCGACACACAACGAAAATTCACAGTCAAGGATAGCGCTTTTACGCGGAACGATGAGCTTCCACCACGCCATCTACGTCGACAATCACAACCGACGCCATGTTTGCGGATAGAAGAAGCCGGCCCGCGACCAGTATGCAACGCGCGCGAACACTTCTCGACCTGCGATTAGTCTGTCGTTGCGGCTAACTTGTTTCCAACCAGCACCTCCTCTACAACGCAGCAGAGGGACGCACGCACGCACACACGTGAACGACACGTGCGTGCGTCCCTCCGTCGCTATGGCAACTGAAGCCTCTCTTCGCTTCTCCCCGCTTCTTCAAGCAACCTCCTTGCCCCGCAAGTGCCGCTTGCGGCTCGCGCCGTTATCTAGTTTCGCACAGGGAAGCGCGCTCGCTGCGCCGGTTGGTCGGCGCTGTCGGCAGGCTGTTCCAGAAACCGCACTATAACCAATATTTCCCTTCGCGCGCCTGCATTTTAAGCGGTATGTAATTACATGGAGTTCTATGGGAGGTGAACCGGTGGTTTAAAAAAGCCACGTTATACCCGGTCAAGCGGTTACGTTGTAAGTGGTCTATACTGTATATACTTCAGAATATGTAGAACATAACTCTAGGTTTGGTTAGAATTAAATTTTTTTATATTTATGAAAAATTTAAGAAATGTTTGTTAGCCCCTTGAAATGGCAGTTTTGCTGTTTTTATTTGTTTTAAAATGAAATAAGCGTTGCACACATTATTTTTGTTGTTCGTAGCACTAAGTGGTTTAAAAGGAGCGAATTAGTTCATTTTACTAGTCTTTTTGAAGTGTGTTGTCATGCTCGACATGTGCATAAGAACATGTTTTTCCTGCATGTACAGTGCTCAGCAAACTTATTTGGAACACATGCTAAGCCTACTCTTCTGTTCTATTTTATTTTTTTCTATGTGTGCGTGCATAGCTGGTGCTAGCCCTAATCTACTTCTCTTTGTGTCCCACTATGTCCGTAGCATACTTTCAGTTCACTTAAGTATGCGCAGTCCTCTCATATTTTATCTTTTTTCTGCATTCGGTATTCTACAAGTGTTCCGTATAAGTTAGACGAGCACTGTACATTGCATCGAGAACCTAAAAAAAAAATTTATATCAAATTTGACACCAGATTTATAAAGAGAATATTAAGCACCATAAACAGTAAAAATTTTATTTCAATATTGTAGATAATAAAAAGGAAATGTTCTCCCTGGTACAAGTCCCTTCAAGAAATGCATTTAATTGCGATAAAACAATGTTCAATCATTGTCACCAAAGGAAGTATGTGCAATACTTTCTGAAAGTAATAAATTACTTTTAGTGCAGTAATAATGCTAATTGTAAATGACTTGTTTTTCAGCAAACTGGGTGTAATTGTTGCATTTAAAAAGTATGGTTTACCCAAGTGTGTTTTTTTTGGGGGGGGGGGGGAGGGCTAGACAGGGACTTGTTGCGACATGCTTTTCTGCTTCTCCCGTGCCCAGGTTTGTGAACCTCCACGGCAACCCCGGGGACTATGCCTGGGGCCGGGGAGGGCTGGATGCTGTCATCACACAGGTGAGTAGCCCCTTCCTTGCTTACTTCATGTACAGTAGCAGCCGCAATTGGTTCGAGTAAAGGGAGAGGAGTTTGGTTCGGGGAAAGCTAAAGCACAACAACACTGGGGCAGGTGTATGTGAGCTGAAAATGTACAGAGCATTAAACGAAGCTCAAACTACTTTCAATCCATCCGAGTCAAAAGCAGTCCAACTGTATGTAAGGTAGCAGTAGCACAACACTACCAAAGCGCGACGTGTCTTTAGATTTTTTGGGGAAGTGTTTGGGGAAGTGCTCGTGTGACCGGGAGAAAGGCGGGGGAGTAGGGGGGATAGGGGACGGAGCCGCGAGGCCGCAGTTTAACATGCGAAGAGCCGCAGCTTGGCCATTCCTGATATATGGCATACTTGACAAGCAAACAAATTAAAATAAAACCAAAGGTGACTAATAAAAATACAACTAATAGATTATGCCTCGTCTGTAGCGTAAACTTTTTAAGGAGCCCGTTCTTCACCAAATGGATCAACGAATGAAACCTTCTACCAACGAATACCATAAATAATGCGGATGTGTCCGCTTTTCTCGATATATCTAATCCCCGAGGGTGCTGTTACTTCTAACGCGTCTGCTGGCCCGCTTTGGCCTCACAATTGACAAACTACTTTATGTAATTAAAAAAAAAATGTTAGGTTTTTGATTAGTAGTTTTGCCTGCTTCCAAGCTGTACCAAAGATTGTCATTAATGAATCCTTGAGGGGCTCGTTAGTGTTGGGGGAATGTGTGTGTAGCATATGTTCATGTGCGTGCACTTGTGAGGTGCCCTTTCCGAGTCTGTGCCATCCCTCGCAGTTGCTGAATCAGCTGGACGGAACGGGGCCACCCCCACTTCCTCGAGAAAAGATAGACCAAATACCCACCGTCAAAATTGTCCAAGAGCAAGTCGGTGAGTGTACTACCGGCCTCCAAAAAGGGTGACTTCCACCGGGGAAACATACGGTATAACCCGTATGTCGTGCAGCTGTGGAGAAAAACTATGAAAATGGCGCAGTTTTTAGTAAAACAATAAAACTGAAAATATGTTTCAGCCTTTTGCGTGCATTAGTGGTTCGAAGATACTCGAAGACACCACAGCTTTTCATAACAAGAGCATGAAAATGCAGAAAATAAGTTCACAATTGCATTTTTTACAAAATTTTGGTAGAGAAACTACTGAAACTGGATCCCCAATCAATTTATTGTCAAATGATCGCTTTCTCGAACTGAGTTCTGATGACGAAAAAACGAAACCAAGGTAAACATGTTGCTGCCAACGTGTCAAATATAGCTTATTAAAAATTAAAAAAAAATAAAGAGCTTTTGGTTACAGGAGCGAAACTTTCTGACAACGTCCCCCAGGTGATCGCCAAGCAAACGAGGCTACTCACTAAAGAAGTGACTTTTTAAAAAAAAAGTTCAGCTCCCCCTCCAAATTGTCTGCAATGTAGCCATGCTGTATCCAAAGCTCAGGAAGGCGCATTTTCATATTGTAACAATCGCCACTTGCACCCTCTCTGCACCGAGTACCAAACTGGTGACATCCACAAGAAAATTGGGGAATGAAGTGCCGACAACCTAAGCTTAGCTTTTCTAGTGGTTCCAGACACAACCTCTGAAAGCACCTTAAGTGCCGATCAAAGCACTCACTCTTCTCCTTTAGATTACTACAAGGTATATTGTTATTGTGATTGTAAAGGCGAGCGGCAGCAGAGTGGAAACTAAGCAGGAAGGGAACGTCGTGAAAGTAGGCAGTGGCTTAAAGGGAAGATGGGGCGCTTCCACATTTGAGAAAAAACGCTTGAATTGTGTTCATTTGGCCTTTAGAATAACAGATATCACAATTATATTTCAATGCGACGCGCCGGAGAGCCATAAGAGCAATTTGAAAATAAGGCTGAAGCCCCGCCCCCCTAGCCTTGGCAAGCCAAAAGATCCGTCGATGACGTCACGGACAGCGACTCTCTCTCGCGTTTTTCTCGCGTTTAACAATACTTGCGCGGCAAATCGTTTCGGTATTCGGGTTCACGAGGTAAAAATACACTAAAATTCACTTCTAACTCATTTTTTTCAAGAAGCTCCGTAGCTTCCCTTTAAGTAGCAGTGGACTCTGTTCGCCGCCAAGCTGACGGGGTGATCAAAGCTACTTGCTTGCCCCACTTTCTGCGTGCGAGCATTCGCGGAGAGTGTGATCACATGGTGCAAGATGAGCGGTTGGCACGTCTAACGAGCGTATAGCCTCCACCGCGCTTTTAGCTTAGTCGTAAATGGAGTGGAGAGGCATGTCACCTTCTGCAGGCACATAGCCAAAGGGGGGGGGGGGGGGGGGGTAAGGCCTGGCCCTCCCCCCCACGAATTCTTCCATTGTGCTGGGACCTCCTCTCCCCACTGCCCCTCATACTGCATTTTGTCATGGGCGGGCCCCCTCGGAACAAAATTTTGGCTATGTGCCTGACCCTCTGGTTCTATAAGGCTGCAAGATTGCTTACGAAATGCCTTATTTCTTATCCAGATTTTCCAGAGGCATATTAATACTGCGGTGAGCAAAGTAATCATTTTGAGCCACCATTAAATTTCACTGAGAAGTTTTGTCTGGCTTGTTTACTTGGTAATAGGTTTGTTTTTGTTTTTGTGGCCCCTGGCGTGTTCGGGGAAAAACGCGAAGTGCGTTTCTGCGGCGACTTCTCTCCAAGTGCGAGAGTCCCGAGCGTTTGCCTCTCTCCCCTTGACACAGACAAGTCCCTGCAGTGCACGGTGTGCATGGAGGAGTTCCGTGTTGGAGACCAGGTCAAGAGGCTGTCCTGCCTCCACCACTTCCACCCAGACTGCATCGTGCCTTGGCTCGAGCTGGTCAGTGGCCCACTGGGCTTTTTTTTTTTTTCCTTTTTGTTTTTTTTTTGTTTTTTGGTCGACTGCAGAGGCAATGGTGGCCGAATGTCCCAACGTATCGCAGGTGGGGTTCGTGAAGCGAAAGCTCGCACCGCAGAAAACGGGGACCCTGAGTTCAATCCCCACCCCTGCCCGTTTCGATTTTGGATGAGTGTCGTATCAGCATGCAGCCGTGTGTCACTAATACACAATACATGTTGCAGACCCCAGGCTAGCAGTGGTACTGCACTGGCTAAATGTTTTGTCTACAGCGTAAACCCATACCTCAAAGGGAGACTGACCTAATGCTGTCTACACATGAACATCTAATTTTCTTTCTTTTGCCTGTCGTTTGAGAAGGTAAATTGCTGAAATGTAAAAGTCAGCTGTGGCCCATCTCCCACAGACCCAGTGCGAGTGCTCACTTATACAAGTGCTTGCGGTGCATTTGTGTCGGAAGATTCTTCCGGTATATTGTGCCATTTTATAAGCTGTGCATAAACGCAAATGACTGACAACTGATTATCGCCCTCACCTCATGCCTTTTTCACCCCTAAAAAGCACCGGACAACCGTTGTAAAATACTGCGGAAGTGCACGCTTCGTACAAGCAACATTTTCCAAACTTGGGAATTCTGCAAATTATGCGTTCAAGGGAAGCTGAAGAGGTTCTTGAAAAAAAAAAAATGAGTTGGAGGCGAATTTTAAAGTATTTTTATCCCGTGAATCTTGAGTATCACGTTTGTTTTCCCCAAAGATGTAACTAAACGTCGAGAAAACACGAAAAACCTCAGACCAGTCGTTACGTCATAAGAGGATCTTTCGGCCTCAAAGCGCGTGTCGCTGGTGTGGGCAGCACATGGAATTGCAAGCTTGCCAGGTATATAACCCCGCACTGACACCAGCCGTGACGTTTTTTTGTGACCTTTTTGAAAATAGCGAGAGTTTGCGTGCATAGCTTTGATAGGCGCTGAAGATGCGTGAGAGCAGAGATTCCTAAAGCTCTGGATATGACGTCGCGCTCAAGAGGGAGGGCTTTCAGCTGTACTTTGATTTTTTGCAGCCTCCGTGCATCAGATTGAAAAACAATCTTGATATTCATGATCCTGGAGGCCAAATGAAGACAATTTAAGTGTTTTTCCTCAAATACAGTGGCCTCGTGAACCCAAACTTCAGAAAGCCACAAATTTTGTTTGAATTGTCAAAAATTCATCTAAATATGATGCAAGATAAAATTATGATTTGCCATATGAATGGCTTCACATACAAAGCAGATATTTGATGATTTCCTCTACATAGGCCTACTGATCATAAGTAGTTATGCCACACATGAAATTTCTGTGAAATGTATGACATAAATTTATTTATCTCAACAATGTTGTTTATCGTGGACTGTTAGACAGCACATGACAACTGCAAACAGGGGACACATGAGCAATGAAAACGGGCACTGCACAATAGTTTACATAGCAACTTGCACAGACGCTGTGAGTGGACCTATGCCATGCCGCCACGTCACAGCGTCTGTGCAAGTTGCTGTGGAAATTTCCACGTGGTGCCCATTTTCATATCTCGTGTGCCCTGCTTGAGCCCCGTTGGGTGCACTTCTCCGCAGCACCGCGGGTGCTGCGGAGAAGCAACACCTGCGGAAACAAGCTCCACGGCTGTTGCCTCTGCAGTGCACCGGTGCTCGGAAAGAGGCATACTCAACAGGACTGTGGGAACAAAAAGTATGAATTACACAAAAAGCGGCTTATGAATGCACTAAAGCCAGGCGGGCCAACCAAGATCTTGAAATTTGTTCGAAATAATTAGAAGTCCAAAATATCAGAGTTTGAATTATCGTGACCCTACTGTACAAAGCCGGTTCAGTTTTCCCTAAGGCGTCCATCCCCTCCAAAGTGCCGGCATCAGCCGAAAATATAAGCACCGTTGCTGCAGCGACCGGACGGCTGGTGGCGATGACGGGGATACGGGGGAAAATAAATGTGCTTTCCTTGATTCCATTCACCCTGCCTTCAACACTCTTTACTGGCTACCATCTTGGTCTTTACTGATTCAACCGGGCAAGCGCCCATGTCTAGATCAACCCAGTTTTCAGTGAACCCCTTTCACTGTTGGGGTGGTTGCTTCCCCGTTATTTTACTGTGCCCATACCCATAGAAAGCTGCTGCAGAAGAAGTAACTTTTTTTGGCAAAGAGTTTAATTGGCACATAGAATTTCCCGAGCTGCCCCAGTAAAAGACTCTAATGGAAAGAATACATAATTAAAGGAAAGCCCCGCCGAGACCCGGTTGCCTCTCTTGACTGGACAATCTTGCTACATTTGCTACCTCGTACGTTGCAACATCTGACCGAAGCATCTGGACAGGACGGGAAATGACTAAACTTTTTGGGCGTGGCTGGGGCATGGGATAGCATTCGTAAGGGCCAGTGCTAGAGTGCCTTTTTGCGAGACTTTGCGAGAAAAGAGAGACTAACGGTGTCCTTTGCGACCTCGTGAGAAGATGGCCACTGAGAGTTCCATCCCCTGCGCAGCATGGCACCTGCCCCATCTGCCGCAAGCTGCTGAGCGACGAAGCCAACGCGGAGGACCCCGCGTCGGCGGGGGGCTCCCACCGGTCCCCGCAGAGGCCCCAGTCCCCGGGGGCCCGCTCGGACCGCAGCACCGCAGACCCCCTGGCCGCCTTCCTGCGCATGCGGGGCGCCGCCACGGGGGGCCCGCGAGGCCAGCCCGGGGCCGGCCGGACGTCCGGCCGCCAGCCGCACCAGCCGCCTCACCAACAGCCACCCCAGCAGCAGCAGCAGCCGCAACAGCAGCCACAGTCGCAGCCGCAGCAGGGCCCCTCAAACCGAGGCGCGGCCAGGCGGCCGTCCCTAGCGGGCGCCTCGTCGTCGACGTCGACGTCGCGGCACGCGAGCCACCCTGGCAACCAGTACTCGGTGTACGACTTCAACGACGAGTGCGATTGACCGATTTGGCACCCCCCTCTCCACAAGCTCGTCCCCCTCTCCCCCGGCCCCTGTACAGGACTGCGGGCCCGGGAGAGAGAATGGCCGCGCGCGCTCCCCGCGGGCCGAGGGCTCCGCGGAAGAAATGCCGTCAGCGCCCGCCGCAAAGGTAGTGGCGGTTGGCGTTGGCTCGCCGGCGGAGGAGTGTTGTTGCCGGGACAGAGAAACCGACGACGGTGCGCTTCCAACACGCGCAGTGTGTGGTGGCCCTTTTGCCGGCGGCACGGGCATCCTCAAGGGAAGCGCGGCGCGAAATTGCGGCCGGTTCGGGGCTCGGCCGAGCAGCCGACGGACCCGCAGCTTCGCTCTAGGTACACCATGTGCAACGAGTCCAGTTAATAAAAGGGAAATGAACTGATGTTTCGACGGCAGGCTCGTAATGAGGCTTCCAAAGGGCCAGAGAAAGTAGGTATGCTTCGTTCATCACCGGGCTGATGAAGTGGTGGAAGCTATGCGCTCGCCGTACTGACGCCTGCCTTTCATCACCTTATTCCGCTCTTAGTGCGTGGCAGTGAGCAGGAGTATGATCATGTGGTGAAAGATACATTATGGTTGGTCCAATGTTTGTGTAGCTTCCACCATACTGTCGGCTTGGGGGTGAACGTTCGTCGCGGAGCTACGAGTATTTTTAGAAGCTACATGCTCAGTCGACTGCCGGTCTCGCAATGTGATCGTGCTTTGCATATACTAGTGTGCATAGTGCAAATTACAATGAAAAAAAAAAAAAAGACTACAAGCATTACGGGAATTTTTTAAATTATTTTATGACGACTAAATGACATTTTTACAGTTCATAGTGCGTGATCATCTCTATGAATGGGGTGTTAGATTTGATATGGCTTGTTTCTTTATGTTCTGAATGCAACACTCAAGCAGAAACAAAAACAAAAACAAAATCGGCAGAGACATTTGAACTGTTTACGTGTGGGAATGCGCAAGCATTCTTACAAGCAGTGCGCCACACCTTCCTCTTTCACACAATGCTCCGGCGGTGACATCACGCTTCCCCACTGTGCAGGCGCGGCAGACTTGCCGGTTTCACGAGGGCTTCCGTGACGACGCATCTGCATTGCTGTGCTTTTCTTTGTGTTTTATTTCTGAGGTGCGTCCACTTTGACCTTGAGCAGCCGTGCTGGCTTCCTTAACAAAACATCCGATAAGACTCGTCACAGCCAAAACTTTACGTGCCGTTTCGCTGCTACAGACAACGCCCAGCCAATGAGATATTAGCTGCCATTTTTTTGCCAGCTTTACTGGCTTCGCTCCATGAGACTGTTAATGTTTTCACATTAAAATGTTCTTGCACACACCTGGGACATGTCAGCACACTTTAAAGAGCCTAGTGTAATAAACTATTTCGCTCCTTTTAAACTACTGAGTGCAGTTACCAACAAAAATAATTAGTGCGAGGCTTCTTTTATTTTTAAATAATTAAGAATGATGAGAAAATGTAGTTTTCAAGGGGCTAACGAAGTTCCTCAAATTTTTCCTGTATATAAAATGTATATTCCAACCAAACCTAAACAGAGCCGTATATTGGGAGAGTCTGGCCAGTGGGTGGTGATGAAGGAAGATGCTGGAGAGGAGAAAAGTGAAGGAAAGGGAGGAGAGCGGTTGGAGGAGCAGGAGAGGATCGCCATTCTTACTCTTTCCGTACAGAGCACTGTTGAAGCTATGCGTTGTTTGCTACGGGAAGACTTCTTTTTCGCCTGAATAAAACTTTACAATTGGAAGTCAAGAAAACTTTATTCGTTAGCTTTTTAACCCGCTGAGAAATAACAGTATCATTTTCGTGCCAGAGCCAGCGATATGAAGGGAAATAACCGAAATTTAGATGCCAATACCATGCCTTCCACCAAGCGAATGAAAATGATGGCCCTCCCCCTTCTTGTGCCTCTCACTGCGCCGTGGTTTGATTGGCTCCCCGGGAAGGGAGAGTTACAACGACGAGATCGTAAGCTGGCTAAACTCTCCAATATACGGCTCTGAACCTAAATAGTTGTACTCTACATAATCTAACATATATGCATGCCAACTTTGGTAGTAATAGGGCAATATTAAGTACAAAGTCTTGTGCGCTGTGAAGATGCACCTAAATTGCAAAACGAAAAAAACCTGCTCGGATATTAGTGTAGCGATACTCCTTCGTAACGGGAAAAATATTTTGTTAATTTTTTGTGAGAAATTGAAGCTACAGAAGACTGACTGAGAGATGGCTAGACATACTTCTCAGCATAAATGTAATAACAAGCAACTTCGCAATTTTAAGAATCTTTGGCAGAAAAGAAGTCTCGAATTCATGCCGTACCGAGTTGGCGAAGGATCTTTGCTAAATGTTGTCGTTTTTTCAACCCACCTCTCCCCTTGAAGGGGTACTTCGACCGTTTTTGAGCTACCCAAACAAATTGCTTTTTCTGAATACCCGCACTTTAGTCTTCACGGTATACTATTTATTGTCTCGGTATTCAAAATGGCCATTGAGAAAAACGTAAATGTAGATGAGGCCGAAACCAACATTGAATTTTCCGCGTGCTCTCCGGAGGTGCGACGTCGCAAATGGTACAGGCTTTCAAATCGTGCCGGTAAGTACGTCGAGCATTTTTTCGTGCTTCTCGGCGAATGAGTTTCCAAGCATTTTTTTTCCCACCATCAGACGTCTTGTAATCAGTGGGGAATGTGGTTAACTGCCCGCTTTGTATTTTTGTCGTTACACTTCAGTGTTGCAAGTAGGGGCTCTCGGTTTGAGAAATGCGGTAAGAATGAAATGAACAAATTCTGTAACATTGCAATTTTTTATTTTTATTTTGTAAATAATATCTGGGGGACTGGTACAGCTGTCCAGCAGTGTGTTGAGCCAATTTTAAGGCAAATCGGCAACCATAAAAAAAAATGATTCTTAAAAAAGGGGGGAGGGGCGATTGATTGGTTTGGCAACTACGTTGTGGTTTGTCTATTTGCATATTTAGTTCTAGTTAAAAGGCTATAAAGCAGATTGGATTTGAATTTTGCTGTATGCATGTCGCATAGTGACACAAGAATGGGAAAAAAACCAGAAATGTGACTTTCAAAAGAAATTTTGAAAATAAGAGAAAGTTCTTTTTTTCTTGCTTTGGAAATGCTTGCCAACCTTTTTGCGATATGCCCGGTTCGAACTGGTGCCGATCACGTAGCAGCACAGGGAAGTTCATGGATTGGACCTGAGCAGTGTTGCGATTGGCTCGACAGAAATCGCCGCATTCTACCAATGTCCGGAGCACAGCACAGGCTCCAAGCTCCAACCCAGACAATGGCTGCGATGAACTTTGGCGGCACGTGCCAGGGAAACAACTCCCGAAGCCGTTTAGACTTTAGTGTTTCCTGCGACGGTGTGGAGCTAGTAAATATGAACACATTTCTTGTATATTACGAAAACCAGTAGGGTTACACCCAAGCCACGTTCATTGATGTCGAGAAATGGGAAGATTGCTTCGATACCAAGATCAGAATTTTGAGTTTGGCCAACCACTTTTTCTCGATGTGTGTTGACTGGTGCCGCAACAGCATCGCTGGTAGGCAGGCGGGCAAGCACTAAACAGCTTGTGAAACTTGGACATTCGGACTTCATTGGACTGCAAGTAAGCGACGTCCTTTGCTGGCAGTCGCTCCAGCATCAATTGGCATATTCTCGCATGGGAAAAGGAGTAGCCTTGTATCAACTGGATCATTCACCAGAATGATACAAGCAAATGTTAGTATAGAAAACATGCAGACCTCACCTTAAAAGAACACGAACACACCCAAAAAATGTTTTTCACGACGGAGCTGTTGAGGGCTAGTTTCCCCACTTTGTCCATGGACAAATCAATCTTGACACAAAACTCCGGATGGCTACTGCCATCTATAAGCGACGGTGGCAACCAGACAACCTGCTTGCCGGTTGTCTGGTTGCCGCTCGTAGATGGCGGCAACCTTTCCAGCCTTTTCACCAGAGTGGAATGGCTGAATTTTTCTAGGTGGCATCCTTGAGGTCGTTCTAGAGGTCATCCCATCATGTACAGCTTCGCTGGTCTTCCTCCTTCACCAGAGTGGAAAGGCTGAAAGTTTTTTTTTTCTTTTGCCAGGCAATTTGGTATGGTGTTGGGACACTACTCCAATCAACATTTTGCTGCAGTCGCATACTTTTTGATTAAGCAAAAAAACTGAACTGCTACGAAACCGAAACATGGAGATTCATGTACGACTAGCACATCAAGGGAGAAATGTGGAGGAGAGTTGCCAGAAGTCTCGTGGGTATTGTTCCTTACCCAGATTTTTTCCGCTCCTTTGGCGTGCGAGGTAGACAACATTCTGTGCACCGTTTGTCGTGCGATTGTTTCGCATTTGTAGTCGTTTCGCTTGCTGTTCTGTGCTTGAAGGTCAATTGGCTGGTACTGCGGAACGAGTTCCAAAGTAACGATTCCATGTCTGTTGCAACGTTACTCCGTTGTGCACCGCCATCGCGTTGTCCAGCCAGCAGTACATTGCCATATTGAGAATGACATAGTACATGTAGGTACTACCTGTAATCTGTGCAACATTTAACATGTTCGCAGCTTTTTGGAAGGCAAAAAAATTGGGGTCCATATTTTCAAGGCAAAAGCTTTACTTGTTCTATTATGCGAAAAGGCGTTGGCGTTGTGCACAAAAGGTGGTCATAAAAATATGTCATCAAGCACGTGCCTCAGAAATAAAACAAAGAAAAGCACAACAACGCAGATGCTTCGTCACGGAGGCTGGCAGGGGCACTCGAGGTCAAAGCGGATGCTCCTCCGAAATAAAACCCAAAGAAAAGCACAGCAACGCAGATGCTTCGTCACTGAAGCCGTCGTGGAGCCAGCAGGGTTCACTGCGCCTGCACTGTGGGGGAGTATGGTGTCACCGACGGAGTGCCATGTGAAAAAGGGAGATGTGGTGCTTTGCTTGTAGGAATGCTTTTGCATTCCTACATGTAAGCTTTAGGTGTCTTCGCTGAATTTCTTTCTAGAACTTTGTCTACCTTTAATAATGAATCTGTGCCTTATTTGGTACACTAGTTTAAACTGCACGTGACCATAGAAAAAAATGAGCGCACCTCAGACTAGCCAATTCGGCAGGAAAGAAATTTTGAGCTGCAAGTTGTGTTCTGGGTAGTTGGGTTCTCATACGTCGTGTCCAAGTAAAAACCTCGGCGAGCATAACTTGTCAGTGCCCGAGTTCAGTCGCTCTGTTCCATGCACTGTTAAAATGAACTTGCTTTTATTTGGAACGCTTCATAAAATACAACTTGGAGGGGCGTGCGGGCAGCTTCAGGAGACGGCCTTGAGCTCCACGTCGAAGTAGAGGGTGCTGTTGGGTGGGATGTCTCCCATGCGGGTGCTGCCGTAGCCTTGGCCGGGTGGGATCACCAGGCGGCGCTTGCCCCCCACCCTCATGCCTGCATCATGCGGAACACCCAATCAAGAGAGGAAACGCAAGCGCAATGCATGGCACGAACCAATCAAATATCTTAAAGGAATACTGGACCGAAATTTGGAGCTAACAAAACAAGGCTGCACTCGTACAGCGATATCTCTAACGGATGACCATATTTCTGGAAAAGAAGCGTGCGATTGACCACGGCCGACGAGACGTGAGACGTTATGATTCTCGTTCCCTTTCCTCTGTCCCCTTGAGCTAGTGAACCAAAGCGAGGAGGAGAGAAGCGAGGCAGCTTCCCCTCATTCTCAACTGTTCCAGGATTGTGCCCTTCTCTTCCAAAAACGCAACCATCCGTTTGAGATATCGATGTAAGAGTGGTGTTTTGGAGTTCGTAGTGTCCCATTCAACGCTTCTGCGGCCTTATTTTGTGAAATCCAAATTTCAGTTCAGCATCCCTTTAAAAGGCAACTCCGCTCGATTTTGGAAATTTTGCGATAGTGGGTGATATAAACGTGAAAAGTACTTCAAAACAACCTTAGACCGCTTGTCTCATCCAAAGCAAAATATTTTTCGTGCGATCTTGTTATTTACCATAATCGCAAACCGAAACAAACTTCGGCACAGCCGGGCAACATTGTACCCTCAAAGTCAGTTGCATACGCACCCACGTGGAATACAAGGGGTCACGTGATCTACCTGTGGTAACCCAGAAAAGACGTGGATGCGAGGGGAAGGGTGAAGAGGGAGGAGGGAGGGCGGGCCTAGCCGCGGCGGCGAACAGGCAACGCAAGCAGCGACGAAACAGGCTATGTAGGCGGCAACCCAGGCAGCTAGTTTGTTGGCACCAGTTGGCACGTATGTCAGCGAACCTCAACCCGTACAACTTTCCCTCCCCCTTGTTCTCGTTCATTTTTTTTTTGTCTGTTTCGCCTATTTGCTTGCTCAGAAGTGGAGTGCGTCCGTAGCGTCGCCTGGTAAGCTCTTCCTGGAAAAGAAAATACCAAGAAAAAAAAAACTGCGTATGCAACAGACGTCGGCCACAACGGAAATACAATGTTGGCTGTGCCGCACGTCGCCCGCTTAATTAACGAATTTTGGTGACTTTGCGCATCTCAGTCTTTGTTGGCCGGTTTAGTGATCTTTTAGGTGGTATTACGTTATAATATTCAACATTCGGTCCCTCTAGATGATACTAAAGAAAGTCACAGTGTTTGCTAACAACTGAGAATGAAGCGGAGTTTCCCTTTAAAAGAACCGTTGTTGGAGGGAGGAAACCCATGCTGGAAGCGAGACAAAAAAAGCTCTGACAATCTCACCTTGTCAGTGAGAGTAACACTTTTTTTTTTTTTTTTGTTAGCACTGTTTGAATACAGCACACAAAAAGTTTTCTTCTTAAGGGGGGACACTAACCAGAAAAAACTATTTCTGCAAAAAAAGATGATTTAAAAAAAAAGTCATACATATTTACATCCACCAATAACTAGAGAGTATTCCCAGAAAGTTTCATTAGTTTAAACTGCATAGTTAATTTTTTATAAATTATTTTCGGTCCACCGTATCTAAAGGAAAGGTAGAGGTTGCAGGACTTTTAACGCATTTTTCTCCATTCCACTTTTTGGCATAAATTCCCCATTAGGAAAACTATTGTTTTGTTATTACGTAACTTCGATTAATCTTTATGATTCTGGGGTGAAATTTTAAGGGGAAGATAGCTATGAGCTTGTATTTTTTTATTTTTGTAATTGTTCATGCTCAAGAACTAAAATTTTGGACGAAGGATGGAAATCTAAAAAACAGTATTTGTATTTATGTGGCTTTTTTTGTCATGAAAGATGGTATAATATAGAAATATAGCTCCATAGCTATCTGCTCTGAACTGTCCTAAACCAATATAACACATGAAAATGACAAACTTATAAGTAAGTTAAAAACTATAGCTTTCCTAAGCAGACATGCCCACTTTCATCTTTGAACATTTGCATTTTTTCTGTTGATGTTAAGAAATGTTCCCGACATCAACAAAAACAAGCCCTGTAAATGTCATTTAAATCAGATAAGTTGTTCAAACATTCACATTTTTGGATAGTGTCCCCCCTAAGATGGCAAAGAAAACGTCCACCGTTAAAATGTTTTGAAAATTATTTTGGCGTCTATGAAGTTACTTCTGTAAAACATAACAATCAATGCTTTATTATTTTGAAGTCCCCCGTCAACACAGTGATCATGGTGGTAGCCATTTCGTTACGGAGTCGTGTGTTGCATGCCTAGGAAGTTTCGGTCCTACTTGGCACTGGGAATGTCTTATTCGGCGTGCGTGTGCTCGACCGGCTAAACTTATTATGAAAATAGACATAGAAATAGTTGCTGCCTTTTAGAAAAAGGATACTAGAAATGAAGAACTGATTTTGTTGCGAGAATGTTACCTGGACAGTGGATGTTGGGTAGAGTGTAAAGTGATTATTTGGCAAATTAATTACCCGAGATTCAATTTTCAATATTTCCTTCAACTGGCACATTCCAATATCAGATTTGTTGTCCATCGTCAAAATATACCAGACCTGTTGTCATAATTCAGACAACTAGATTCTGCTCCATGTTGCTGTGCCCTGGCAATGTCAGGCTGCCAAGTTTCTGCCGTACCGAAACTGAAAGAGAAAGAGTGCAGAGAGCCGAGCGCTTGAGGAGACAGCAGAGTAGGATGAGCCTTTTCTATGGCTACGTGACCCTTAACGGCTCGTGGTGACCCGCTCCTTGCGTCCGCTGCGGATGCCGACATCACTTCCGGGTGAGACTTCTACCGCTGTTTTTGCGTCTTGTTTCGTTTTTCAGAGACTAAATGAAGCAAGATTGTTTTTCTGCATTGTAACAACTGCTATGGCGTATTTTGACGACGGGCAACACATTTTGGCGTATCCTTTTGTTTCTGAAACTCCTGCTGGCTGTTGCAGCAATTTAACGAAAATCGACAAACGTCTTGCATGTCAACCCTAACTAGAAATGGGCATGACCACTGAGTTGACATAAGAGGTCTTGCCTATAATTGAAACTTTCAGTTATAACAAACTGATTCTTCTTCTAAAAAAAAAAAAAAAAAGAATATACATAATTTAGCATTGTCCTTCTCTACCAATTAATGTAGCATACTACCTTTTGCAGTCAGTTGAAAGTGAGCTGTATCCCTTCACATGACACTGTCACAATAGTATTGAACAACTCTAAATGGACCATACAAATTGGGTATGTACAGCGGTAACACCCAGGATAATGTTTTAAGACAATACAAAGTATCCTCAAGCATAGCAGTCATGAATGACGGCACACTTCCACCTAAATTTTTACAGGGCCAACGATATGCATCGAAACGTTAGCGTCTGAAAGTGGCCACTAATATATGAATAGAATGCCAAGATTTAGTTTTGTCTGTAATGTGCTAGCGTCCTAACCCACTACCGCAAAAAACCGGGCAAGTGCCCACTCAAAATTTAAAGATAATCGGGAAAAAATAAAAATGGGGGATGGGCGCTTGTCCGGTCATCAATTTTACATATAAATGTAGTATGCGTATTTTCTCAGATCTTACCAATTTGGGAATGGGCGCTTTGTGTGGAATGGAGATGCGCGGTATTCTACAATATATACCTCGTTGGTAAACAAAAATGTGTCTTGCCCGAGCATACTAACACATGTAACAGAACACCCAGTGGCTTAGAACACAATACAATACAATTTATTGCATTCTTTGTTCTCATTTTTCAACTTAACTTCCGCACAAGCCAATAATGCTATTGTGTGGGATGCGGCAGCAGTGGTACAGGGTTAAACTAGGTAACCCATTGAGAATGCAATTTGTACGTTCAACAAAAACACAAAAAACATTATTTTGGTCACATTTCACATTGTTGCTGCTATCTGCAGCAACAAAAGCACAGAAATGAGTATAATACCTACATCTAGCTGCGCACGTTAACGGTTTGGTGAAACCGTGTTGGTTTCACCAACAACACGCCTGTCTCATTCAAGGTGCCGTCCCATACTCTCTTTGCTGCATAGAGTTAGTAGTACAAATAGCTCTGCTCTTGCAGAAACTTTTCCAGTTTATGATCTTAGTTAGGTCTCTCGCCAGGGATGCCTATAGACCTTTTCTGCAAGTACGCCGCTATCTTGAATTGACGTCACTTCCAGTATGGGCGAAAACAGTGTTTTGCCTTTGCCACACCAATACAAGGCATTTAGGATATAAGCGTAACCGTCAAACTTTCTCGTTTTGCCTCTCCTTTATTTTTTTACTATTTGCAGGTTGAAACGTTGCATTATTTTTTCGTCGCCCATACCGGATACGCCTATTACGCGGCTGGGGACAAGAGTACACAGAAAAGGTCTATAGTCACTGCCAGAAGCTCCTCTTTGCCCTTCCCAACTTGTCCCTGACTGTAAAAGACGGAAGAGGCTATGTCACCTTGGATGCCAGTCTCCCACCCCTTGATGACGTCTCCTTTGCCCAGCTTGAAGGAGAAGGCCTTTCCTGACCGGCAAGAGTCGAACTCCCGGTTGTTGGCCAGCTTACCCGTGTAGTACACGTGCACCTGTCGGAATGTCAGTTGCGATGGATCACTACGGGAAAAACTTGGCCCAAGCTTGCGTCTGGCACTCGTGCAAGATTTTGCTCGTACGTACAGCTTTTATCGCGGATTGCTGCGGGTATATAATAGGAGTTTATGGACAAAGCCTGCATGTGTACTTTCATCCGGGGCCAATTGCTGCCATTTATGGGGGAATGACGGCAAAGGTAAAAAAAATCGTCCAAACTGCTAAGTGAAAAAAAAAAAAAAAGAAAAAAAAAGACCCGTGCAAGAACGCTGAGCACGACAACCACATTCTTAGGATTCTAGCACAAAGCCTAACAGTGGCGGAAGCAAGCTTCAGCCTTTTCTAGCAGGTCTGGAAGCAGCAGGAATGCCCCTCTGGAGCAGTTTTGAAGCAGTAAAAGTTCTGCTTTGGAGCAGCTCAGGAGCAACAAAAGTCGAGTTTTGTAGCAGTATAAAAAGCAAATCTTGGAGCTGGTTGCCCAGGTCAAACTTGGGCTGTAAGAGCAGATGTGTTTTTCTAAATACAAAAATATCACAACAAAAAAGCATCTCCATGCGACGTTCCAGAACCATTTCCAAACATACTGTTTTCTTAAATATATGCCAGCCCACAGCATAAAAAGCAAACAGCATACTAATTGCAGTTTATCTAAATGGCAGTTATTGAGAACTGTCCTGGTAGCAGGTGGGTTCCTCTTATAGATTTACAATAGAAGCCACAGTCAACAAAAGAAGCACAACTTGAGCCTCATGAAAACAAAATGTTGCACTTATTTAACAATTCAAATCACAAGTGTAATACGGTTCTTGTTCCGTATTACACTATATTGTATTTGTTGTTACGGGAAAATTCTTATCTTGTACCAAAGACCTGTACGTGTTCATTATATATTTCTAATTCACCCTGTAAGAGCCCTGCATGGGCTGACAGTATTAATAAATGAATGAATGAAATGTATGAAGTTCCATAAGTAGAAAACAAAACCATTTCAAGATGCAATAGTATGGTATGGAATAAAGCCCAACACTTAGTGGGTGCGTTAAGTCGGCGCTCATTTACTCCTACTCCGACGCTCAGAGTTTCATACTCCGAGCGCAGCAACTAAACGACGCATAGCGTACAGGAGCACAACAGACCGAGGCTGCGTACCACACCTACTCGAATGGATCCGAGTTACCCTGGCAGATTGTGTCACGTGACAATAAAAATAGAGGAACGCTGGACGCGGGTAGGTTTTCAATAACCTTTTTTACCCTAGAGTTAGATCGAGCAAGTTTTGGAACACGGCCAGAAACCATCGACGAGCCACACGAGCTCCTTCTGACCGTGGATACAGGTGGCAGAAGCCAAAAATATTTCGAAGATAAATAATTAGGCCCGTGTGGAGCGGCAGTCTCTAAAGCAAAAGAGACGGCGACGTTATGAAGTTTCTACAAACGTTTTAATATTCCTGCAGGGTTTGAAGACTCGCTTCGTGCACATATGTGGAAGGTTACCTTGGCCGATCTATTTATTGACCATGCATGCTGTTCCGATTTAAATTAGAGACAACATACTTGAACCCACTCGTCGACGCAGGAAACCCTCAAATTTGTCAGAGATTCCGTGGTTCCGTCGGTTCCGTCTTGCAGCGAGACGGAAGCTACGCCATCGTTTGGTAGCTCGTCAATTTGTTTTTAGGCGGTATGCATGAACAAACATTTGCCGCAACGCTAACTGGTGTTTCGGCTTTCCAATCAAAGTATATCTTTATTTGCTGCGGCTAGGCTAAGCATTCTAAGCAGGGCAGCGGTCTGACTGCCTTTTCATCACACCTTTTCTGTCGCCGAGCTATCGGCACGCTCATTCAATAGATGAATTCGTTTTCAGGCAAGACGCACGAACAAACCTTTTCCTTTTTTTTTTTTTTTGAAAAACAGCGCAAATATTACACGGACAAGAAGGAGGAACACACAGGACGAGGCGCTGACTATCAACTGTCTATTCAGAACACATACATAGAAATTCACGCGAGGTCGGCTTCTTCTTTTTCCTCTTCCAGTCATTCGCCATTAAGCACGCAACATGCCAAATTAAAACACACGAGTACATTAAAACACACCAGCACAGGTATAAGTCATCGCGTCTTCCTCTTTTCTTCTTTCTTGGATCTTCAGTCTTCAATTCAAAATTAGCTCACTGTCCACTAGGTTAATGGAAGGTTGGCTCACGCACCCGGGTTTTCGTTTTGCTATATGATAAGCTTCTACTAGCTCCCTCGATAGCTGATCTTTGTGTTTAAACAGCACTTTTGTGTCACTAAATTTTGGCTCACATCCACAATCACGGCAGTGGACAGCTAAATGGAAGTACGCGTTACCTTTTAATGAACTGTGGTGTTCGCGTAGACGAATGTTGAGGCAACGACCCGTCTGTCCTATATATGAGTGACCGCATAAGAAAGGTATTTCATAAACGGTCCCCTGTGCACAGGACACGAACTTCATGCCATGCTTGACGCGACATCCAAACAGTTCTGGCTTACTTTTCCTGTCAGCACGCTTGTTAACCACGTTTATAATTCTGCTCAGTTTGTTACGCGCTGAAAAAATTACATTGACCCCATACCTTGAACCGACTCCCTTTAACCCGTGTGAAAGACGATGGATGTAAGGAATAACGGCGACATTCTTTTTGTCTATCTTGGCTTTTTCTTTTTCAGGTTTACTGGAATCAATCTTGATATACCGAGTCACCTTATCGCAGGCTGAAGTAATAATTGAGTCGGGAAAATTAGAGTCTCTGAGTCTAGCGACCTGTACTGAGAAGCTTTCTTTCATCTTATGAAAACAGGTTTTTGTCAACGCTGACTGTAAGCAGGTATACGCAATACCGTTTTTTACTGCAAAGACGCATAAACCAGAAATACCATTCAGCACAGTAGTGTTGGAGCGAGATTCCTGGCTCAGGGCAGTTTCAGGATATCTGCAAGTCCACCTCAACTCACTGCAGATTGATGACCCTTTTAACATTCCAAACTCGATGTCTGTTATAAAATTCTTAAAAGACAACAACCCAGAAAAATGTAGCGCATTTAGCATAGATGTGGAAGAGTTATATTACTCTATGCCCCATCATGAGCTCATGAAGAGCGTAAAAGAATGTATTTTTGAACTCAACGATGAAACGAGGTTTAGGACCAAAAGTGGAGTCTCAGTTGAAGGGTTCCTAGAGCTTTTGTCTATGTATCTAAAATCCACGTTTATCGATTGGCAGGACAACGTTTATGTACAACAGTCAGGCGTATGTATAGGTTCAAGAGTGGCCCCTATGCTGAGCAGTATTTTTCTAGGTAAAGTTGATAGGGCCCTTGAGCACAGGCTGGCGAACAACACCAAAAAGGTTGTCAGATATGTAGATGATTACCTGGTTTTCGTAGAAAAAAAGAGTTTTAGTAGAACAATGAGTGAAGTGTTAAAGACGTTCGCGGAGGAAGGGTTAGGACTCCGCTTCACTTCCGAGACTCCTAAGGAGCACAAAATCCAGTTTTTAGACATCCTAGTTGACGTGAAAGAAGATCATGTATGTTGGATGCACCACCCCAGATCCACGAAGAAACTACTAGACTATCGTTCAGCACACTCAAAGCTCGTAAAAAACGGTATTGCGTATTCCTGCTTACAGTCAGCGTTGACAAAAACCTGTTTTCATAAGATGAAAGAAAGCTTCTCAGTACAGGTCGCTAGACTCAGAGACTCTAATTTTCCCGACTCAATTATTACTTCAGCCTGCGATAAGGTGACTCGGTATATCAAGATTGATTCCAGTAAACCTGAAAAAGAAAAAGCCAAGATAGACAAAAAGAATGTCGCCGTTATTCCTTACATCCATCGTCTTTCACACGGGTTAAAGGAAGTCGGTTCGAGGTATGGGGTCAATGTAATTTTTTCAGTGCGTAACAAACTGAGCAGAATTATAAACGTGGTTAACAAGCGTGCTGACAGGAAAAGTAAGCCAGAACTGTTTGGATGTCGCGTCAAGCATGGCATGAAGTTCGTGTCCTGTGCACAGGGGACCGTTTATGAAATACCTTTCTCATGCGGTCACTCATATATAGGACAGACGGGTCGTTGCCTCAACATTCGTCTACGCGAACACCACAGTTCATTAAAAGATAACGCGTACTCCCATTTAGCTGTCCACTGCCGTGATTGTGGATGTGAGCCAAAATTTAGTGACACAAAAGTGCTGTTTAAACACAAAGATCAGCTATCGAGGGAGCTAGTAGAAGCTTATCATATAGCAAAACGAAAACCCGGGTGCGTGAGCCAACCTTCCATTAACCTAGTGGACAGTGAGCAAATTTTTTTGGACATGGGGTGACCTGAGAATTGAACACTGAAGATCCAAGAAAGAAGAAAAGAGGAAGACGCGATGACTTATACCTGTGCTAGTGTGTTTTAATTTGATATGTTGCGTGCTTAATGGCGAATGACTGGAAGAGGAAAAAGAAGAAGCCGACCTCGCGTGAATTTCTATGTATGTGTTCTGAATAGACAGTTGATAGTCAGCGCCTCGTCCTGTGTGTTCCTCCTTCTTGTCCGTGTGGTATTTGCGCTGTTTTTCAAAATGAATTCATACCAACTCGCCCAACTATCCATTCTAGTAAACCTTTTCCTCAACGCTCACTAATGTTTCGGCTTTTAAATTGAAGTATCTTTATTCGCTGGGCTAAGCATTGTAGAAAGGACAGAGCGGTCCGAATGTCTCCTCATTTCAAGAACTTTTCTGTTGCTGTGCTATCGACACGCTATCGTTTGATAAATGAATTTCTTTTTCAGGCAAGATGCACTAAGAAACCTTTTTCGGAACGCTAATTGCTGTTTTGGCTTTCAAATGAAATTGTTTTTACCTGCGGGATTAAGCACTAATGAACTGAAAAGAGGCAGCGGTACGGCTACGCATTTTGTCTCGACGGTTTCAAAGGCAGCACAGCAATCTTGTTGGCTTATGTGATGTCACTGAGCGCAAAGAAGTCACTCGCGCTCCGAGAAATTCTCGGTGCACAAAGAGCACGGTGGCACTTCTGTCCGTTTAGTGAAAGGAGCGCCAAACTCTCGCGCTCTGGAGCACGAACTTAACGTGCCCACTGACTACAGATTTCATTATTAAGAAATACAAATGTTTCAAGTCCCTGTTTGGCAAACATTCAAACAAAAGGTCCAGGCAGTCATGTCTGTCTGGACCATTTATGGCCACAGCCCACGCAGTATGTACTTTCTCGCAAAGCATGTAGAAGTGGATTGCTGCCATTTGTGGAAAGAGAGCAGCAAATTATGAGGCATTGCTTACGTTTTGATCGAAACCAAGGCTTATGCTAGGATGATTCAAAACTAGGGCAGTGCAATCCACTTTTGCTGCACCATCCTGCTCCCAAGTGCAAATATAGTGCCAAAACTAATCAAAAACAATTTTTTTGAAAAAATTCATTTTTCATTTGTGAGGTTTTCGGTTTTAGAAACTAATTATACACCCTTACGCTAAATTTCATAACCATGCGCCAAATAGTTGCGTTGATATAAAATATTTTCAACACATTGTGAGGCAGTAACAAAGTAAAGGAGCTCAATGTTTGAACGCATATTTCTCAGTTCCACTTTTTGCTGCAAATTTCATACGAAGGAATCTTTTGTTTGAAGGTAAAATTATTCTGATACCACAATCAAGATGTTTCTGAACTGAAATTTACTGGGGAATTGGGCTATCTGCTTTATTTTGTTTTACATTAAAGTCCTCATTGAGAAAACACTATGTTTTCAAAAATTGACATAAGACAGATATGCATCTCATATTTTGAGGTAATCACCCCTTCTGAAATATTTACATTTAAATTATAAAAACTAGATAGCCCAAAGTCCCACATCCCCCACTTTATACTCAAGCAGTTAAAATGGTGCTTAATAGCTTCATTTGCATATCATAGATTTCTTAATGAAGAGTGACACATCTTCTCATGCAGGTATGTAAAGTTGCCCAAGAGAGCTGAAAGTTTGCACAGTTCGCCTACATCTGAAGTTAAATCTCCCCTGCTAATTTCATTCCGATCACTTGAGTAGTTCAAAAGTTCAACCGCTAGCCAGTGTACCCCCTTAATACAAGCATCTCAGTTCCCCCCGAAAATTGGCCATAATGAGTTGTTTACAATAATTAAACAAAAATGCATGTATAGGGTGACCCAAGTCACCAGGCTCGGTCTAAAATGGACTGTAAAAATCGACGCCTGCACATAGCAATGTAAACTTTTCCTCAAAGGTGTACTATTTCACATGTCGGTTTTTCCTTGCAAAATTAAAAAGCGTAACTCCCTTTCTTTAAAAAAATAGTGCCTAGAAACTTGCCTGGGTCAACGGCAAGCGGCGACGCAGTCGACCAAGTCGAGTTGCGGGGTGCGTTTGGATATATGGCGCTACCTTCTTATCGAGACTGCTTGCATCCACCGTGGTTTATTAAAATGAAAACAATCTTTTTGTAATCTACCTTTGGTTAAAAAATATATGCAAACAATAAAAGCAAAACTTAAAGAAAAGAAGTGTGTCTGGATAATTACGATGCTTTTGCTGTCAACGGATTTCGTCTGCCTACCTTCTGCTATCTTTTGCTGGTCAGTTGCACGTTCCGACACTGCTTGCGACGCCATCTATCAATACGTGTGCCAAACGCGCCCCCCAACTCGACTTGGTTGTCTGCGCCGCCGCTCACCGTTGACCCAGGCAAGTTTCTTGGCCCTATGTTTTACGGAAAGGGAGCTAGGCTTTGTAATTTTGCAAGAAAAAACCAACGTGTGAAATACACCTTTGACGAAAAGTTGTATGTGCAGGCGTCAATTTTTACGGTTCATTTTAGACCGAGCCTGGTGACTCGGGTCACCCTAAATTTGCCCCGTTTATCCCCAAAAATTTTGTCCATACTAACGAGACACAACTGCACTCTCCCCAGAAGTTTAGGTCCTACTTTCATTGCAGAACATTGACAGTTTTGGTTGGGGTGAGCATCGTACTGGCATCTGGTTGTATGTCACCAGTGCCTAACTTAAAGACTCCAGACTAGTGGTCATATTGCAAGGGCTAAATATCTCACCTCCGGCAGAAATGCCACACGCCCATTGGGGATGACTAACTTCCCTCCAAACACAACACAAGTACAACTACACAATCACACACATTTGTTGGTTTCTGGCTGTTTGGAGCAAGGCGGCCAGGCTGCCTGACAAAGAAGGAGAGGAAGGAACACATACGCTCTTGCCCGGCTTAGCCACAGGTCCGCTGCCAATCCTCAGGTCTTGGCTCTGGACTCCTCCCTGCAGGACGGTCTGGTTCTTGCCCTTGGGAGACTGCTCCTGCTGGACCTGTTGAGGAGCATGCCGCCAACAGGGTCACTCGATATTCGCCAGGACACAACACACCCCTAGTTTCCCGCTACACAGCCTTACAGGATGATGTCAGCTGAAAGAATGGCCTATCCACTCCGGTGCACCACCTTAAAATTCTGGGCAGGCGTAGTGCCCACGTCCTCGACAATTTCCAAACATGCTATAAAACACAGCTTTTTTGTTATGCCGTGCTTTCTTAAAGGAAAGATGGGGCACTTCTACATTTGAGAGAAAACGCTTGAATTGCTTTCATTTCGCCTCTGGAATAACAGATATCAAAATTATATTTCAATGCGACGCGCCGGAGAGCCATACGAGCAATTTCAAAATAGGACTGAAGCCCCGCCTCCCTAGCCTTGGGCAGCCAAAAGATCCGTCGATGACATCACGTACAGCGACTGTCTTTCGCGTTTTTCTCGCGTTTAACAATACTTACGCAGCAAATGGTTCGGGTATTCGGGTTCACGGGGTAAAAATACACTAGAAGTCACTTCTAACTCATTTTTTTTCGAGAAGCTGCGTAGCTTCCCTTTAAATAAACAGTATTTCCATTAAAAGACTGTCTAGGGCGGGGACATTTTTCTTGTTTGTTGGTGTGGGGCTGCCCCAACAGATCTTTCTTGTCTCAAGGCGCATCTCATTTGTTTGACGCATATCAAAGCATATGTTTTGGTGGGTGGATTGTGAAAGGTCAAGCGCCCGCGACTGAAACGGACACATCTTTGCTTGTAGATGTGCGTACTTGAGTAAGAGAGGCTCTTTAGTTAGAAACAGGTGATTGTGCCAATTGGGCATTGCGCGGCTAACAGGTAGGAAGTTTTGTTTCTTTGCTTACTCAATTTATTTATGATTTTTCACGTTTTGAGGACCTCGCAGAATTGAGGATTTACCAAATCTTTGATTCTTCCTCAAAAGAAAATGATCTAAAAACACAGTCACTAGCATTGTGTGCGAACGGTATACTGACTCCGTCTAATCTGGGACTTATGCTTTGCCATGGAAGTGACCATTTTTAAATATAGGTACAAACAAAGCAGGTGATTGTTTTGTACAGATTAGGGCCCCTGAATGTTAATTGAATTTGTTTCGAGGCGTGTGCACGCCCCAGCCTCTGCAGTGCTTTTTTTTTGGAATGTCTTAGGTAAGGCATTCATCACCTGTAATGGGAAATCAAAATAAAATTAATATTATTTTTATAGGATGCTGCTTCTAGCAAGCCACCATGCCTTGTTTTGCCAATCATGCAAGTGCAGATGCCATAGATTTCAGCATTCAAAACATGAGATGCTGATGACTATGTTGGGTCAACCCTTTGAAAACAAAATACTGTAAAAACCCTTTATTTTCACGGCCCCGATTTTGTGCAAATTGGGCAGCGGGGTCATATTTCTGACCACAAAGTTTCGCGAATTCCGATAGCAAGAATTCGCCTATCCAGAGAATAGAAATATTTGCACCCCCTAAAGTTTGCAAATTTCGCAAGTCGCGAAATTTGCAGAAATGAGAGGTTTTAGGGTAGTTTCAGTCTAACAATTCGGCTCTCGTGTTGCAGCAGTGCTGCTCCATTTTCTCGGCTCTGATAGCTGCTCTGATAGCTGCTCTGTTGTGCTAGCCAGCGGCGTAGACTTTCCATTTTCCCGGGGGAGGGGGGGGGGGAGTTTCCTTGCAATTTTTATTTACACCGGCAATTATCAGTAGTTTATTTTAGGGGGTACATTTTACAGCGTATGTATATCGCCATGTGTCCGTCGCTGTGTGCGTTATTTTGTTTACATGCCACTACTAGAAGCTTGTTACATGGCACTTAAACAGCATCTCGCTAAAGATCATGGCCCGGGGGGGGGGGGAGAAGGGGGCTCTGCCCTGCCCTGCCCTGCCCCCCCCCCCCCCCCCCCCCCCCCCCCCCGGATCTCACCAGGGGGGGCACAAGCCCCGATGCCCCTATGGTGGTAGCCCATATGCCTTGCGACCGTATACATATTACTCGCCCACAATCGGCGAGGGGTTAAGAATGCAGTAAAGAAAAGCTCTGTGTCCAGTGCGAGCAGGAGGCAGAACTTCGATAACATTCAAGTTTCTCGTGACCACATGCGGTAAAAGCGCGACCGAAGGCAACAATCAAGCGCTGGATGCAGGACTTCTGCTGTCTTCTTCACCTGTTACCAACTTATAGTGTCCCTTATAGGTGCACCTGGAGAAGTGCAGCAATGCAACTTTAAGTTTAGAGTAAAAGTTTCATCCCAATAGCATTGCACAAAAATTGCAAGCTAAGCAATAAAAAAAACAAGTTGGATGTGCTTTAAAAACATATGCAAAGAAAAATTTTTTTTTTTTAAAAACAGCTTAGATGGAAAAGTCTGCCATAAAATAAATCTACAACAATCTAAAGATGTTCTAAAAAAAATGAAAGCCGTTTACAACTCCCTGTAACACCGAATTGGAGTGCAGCTCTTGAGGAGGAGGAGGGAAGGCTACTGAGGGTTACCTGTTCTCGGGGCGGGGGGGTCATGTGACCTTAAGGGGTCACGTGACCCCCCAGAAAAAAATTTCCGCTAGATTTAGCGGGGAATTTTTTCCGCTAGATTAAGCGGGGAAATTTTCTTGCTAGGTTTAACGGGAAAATTTTTCCGCTAGACTTAGCGGGGAATTTGTTCCGCTAAATTTAGCGGGGAAAATTTTTGACTCTAGATTTAGTGGAGAAATTTTTCCGCTAAATCTAGCGGGAAAATTTTTCCGCTAGATTTAGCGGGTAAATTTACCCATAATGCACCGCGCAATTACGCCGACGGCGACGGCGCTTAAGCCGGAAACGGGCCCCTAAGAGCTGCGCTCTAAAAAAGATGTTGTTTGCTGGCACAAGGCCAGCTAATGACATCGAGAGAAGTCAGATAGGTGGAACAAGAAAAAAGTGTGCAAGAACACTTTGGACTACTCTGCAGGGTCGTTTTAAAGCCGAAAATCTGTGTGCAAGTTTCAAGTGCTGTTTTCTCAGAATGGATTTTTTCACTGCCATGGCTGCCCTTCCCAGCGATATCTCGGGAACTGCTCAATGAATATTTGCGGTCTTTTTTATTCTGTACCTATATAACTTTCTTTGTGAGGGCATAACGAAGCTGCCCCCGCCTCCCCCCCCCCCCCTTTTTTTTTAGAAAAACGTGTCATAAACGTATAACAAAAATATTAAATTAGATAAATGTAAGTTTCACCGACTACATAAAATTCGAAGTTCTGCTACAATTTTTAAGCAAGGAACAAAAAGGCTCTGTTATGCCCGGGGGACCTATTCAGAGGTCACCATAACAAATTTCATACTGCTACTACCTTTTTCAAATTCTCCAGGCCTGGGATAAGGAACGGATATGGACGATTTTGATGCATTTCTGCAACTTGAGAAATAGTATGCACAGCTCCATGAAACTCTGCAGTTACCCTGAAGTCTGTGTTATGAACAGACCCTGTAAATTTCGTTAAGGTATCTCTAGAAATAAGAAAGTTTTTAACAAGTCCACACGTCCTTCCTTATTAATCTTTCTTTTCAGTGCAACTAATAAAAATACAGGTTAATTTGTAACAGCCCGTAGAAAGCTCCCGAAAGAGTGCAAGTGCCACGTGATAGACCTGCGCACCAATCAGAAATTGATGACAGCGGTATGCCAGAGTGTTTTCTTCCGGCGGTGGCCCGGAGAAATAAGTTCAGCCGGCGGTGCGCCACGCTCAGCATGCGGCAGCGGCATTGGAGTTCCGAGGACTTCAGCGGTGGTGCTGAACGGCTCCGGCGTAACTTGCGGCGGCGGTGTACAGGTCTACCATGTGACTAGTGGCAGCTCCAGCGGGTGCAAACTACAAATTCGTTTCGCGCCACAAATTACAGTCCAACCTCGTTATTACAAACACTGATATACCGAATTATCGGATATAGCGAAGTAAATATAAATTTTGGTTGGTTATGCTTTATTTCAATGGAAGTTCGACCTTTAAAATGAAACCGAAACCACGGAATCCTACGCGGTATCGGTTATAGCGAAATTATTTTCGGCCGCGCACGGCTCGAAATATGTGCAATACCAAAACAAAAAGAAATAAAATCTATAAATTACCATGTAAAAAGGCAATGTACCTAAATTCAGTGCCGATTTTCAAGATACCGAACGTTGCCAACGCTCGAACGAGCACTTTGGGAGGTAACTGGCGCCATCTATGAAGCGGGTGCATAAACCCTAAAAGATGGCGAACCAGCGGCGCCACCTATAAGCGTCATCAAACACTAAAATTTAGAGTGCCAAAGCGACAGCGACGGCAGTCAGTCAATCTGGGAGCAGAAAATGGCGACGTTGAAGCGCAAAGCTCTGTCTCTCGAGACGAAAGTTAAAATTTTAAGAGCAGTTGACAGCGGCCGCAAGAAGAAAGATGTTGCGGAGGACTTCAAGATCCCACCCAGCACATTGTCTACTCTCTTAAGTTCGAGGAAGAAGATTGAAGAGACCTACGCCAACAGCACTCTGAAAGGCGACAGAAAGCGTGACAGGCCTTCTCATTACCCCGATGTGGAAGAGGCTTTGTTCTCCTGGTTCAAGGACGTGAGAGCGCGAAACTTGCCGGTGTCTGGTGCTCTTCTGCAAACGAAAGCCGTCAGTTTAGCGTGCCTCTTGGGGCATCATGACTTCAGGGCAAGTAGCGGTTGGCTTCAGCGCTTTAAGAACCGGCACGAGATCGCCTGCCACACCCTGTCTGGCGAAGGATCCGCTGTTACCTTGGACTCCTGCGAGAAATGGCTCGAAAACTTCCGACCTCTACTCCAAGAATACGAAGAACGTAACGTATACAACGTCGACGAGACTGGAGTTTTCTACAAGTTGTTGCCGGAGCGGTCATTGGCTGTGAAAAACGAAACCTGCCACGGAGGGAAGAAGCACAAAGACCGGGTAACTGCTGTCGTTGCGGTCAATATGGATGGCTCCGACAAGAGGCGGTTGACCGTCATCGGAAAGTCTGCTCGCCCTAGGTGCCTACGGGGTGTTCGAAATCTGCAGGTTGATTACTGGTCAAACAAAAATGCGTGGATGACGACGAAGCTCTTCGAGGACTGGCTGAAGGCTTTCGATGAGGACATGGAGGAGCAGCATAGGAAGGTCCTTCTTCTGTTGGACAATTGTTCGGCGCACAAGGTGTCTTGCCCACTGAAGGCAGTCCGCCTAATGTTTCTGCCACCCAACACAACGTCGGTTCTCCAGCCCTTGGATAAGGGCATCATCCGTTCTTTGAAGTGCTCGTATCGGAAGCAATTGGTGACGCAGCTTGTGTTCGACATGGACCGGCGCCAACCCACAGCCATCAACACGAAGACAACGTTGACAATGCTGTATGGATCTTGGAATGACGTGAGACGGTCAACAATAAGGAACTGTTTCGTAGATGCCGGTTTTGTTCTGTCCTCCGACGAAGTACATCCTGAAGACCCAGTGGCGCAACTTGACGAGACACCGTGGGATCGGTTGACGTTGCCGGATAGTATCACATTCGAAGACTTCGTCTCCGCCGACGACAACTTGGCCGTGGCGCCCGAGCTAACGGACCAAGAAATCGTGGACCGTGTTGTGTTGCCCGGAGAGAATAGCGGCACTGACAGCGAAGGTGAGAGCGACGACGACATTGAAGAACCTCGCACAAGTACTGCGGATGCCGCGGACATGGTGACAAAGCTGCGAAGCTACTTGGAGAAGCTCCCCACGGCAAAAACCACTGAAGTGGAGAAGGCTCTCGCCTGCATGGGCACTGTCGAGAAGTTCATACTACTCAATGCCGTGAAAGTCCACCAATCGAAGAAAACGTCTTTCTTCAAATAAATTCAATTGCGGACTATGGCAACATGGTTCCTCGGTTGTAAATTCAATTCATATTGTGCCGGTTCAACTTTTTTAATCCTACCCTAGGTGACAGGTAAGGATTTATATGTTTATTACGGGATTCGAATTCCCCTACAGTCCGTTTTTATATCTTAGCATTATGCATGTTTGAGCACTTTTTGCACGGGCCCAATTGCCGTTGTGTTTGTACAAATTTTTCTGAGTACTTTTATAACGAATATTGGATATAACGAACGAATTTGCGCGCCCGATGCTACTTCGTTATAACGAGGTTGGACTGTTAGCTCTAAAAATATTTTGTTTTCGTATTTCCCATCCAGGCTGTTTAAATTTTTTTTTTTTTTTTTTTTTCCTTTGCATACGTTTTTAGACAAATCTGTTACCACATGCAAACTGCTGCAGCACTTATGAGACATGCAAGGACAAGGTGAGCTCTGCTAAAACTCACAAGGCTGCTGCTCGAGTCCTTTTTGTTCCTCTTCCGCTTCTTCCTGGCCCCTTCCTCCGGACTGGCACCCTGCAATGTTGGAAAAGCAAACTTCAACTTTTGGCCGATGTGCAAGTAAATCGAGACCCTGCAACACTCTGCCTAGACAATGTGAAATGAAGGTGCAGTATATATCTTGATTTGCTCAGAAAGTAACTTCTCATAAACATTTTGAATAGATGACATACGAGACAGGCTGTTTATCTTCCTATGGTAAAAAGGAAAGAACCTGCTGTTCGAAAAAGCAAGAAAGTAGGGGTGTGCAAATATTCCAGCTTCAAGTTAGAATCAAATAGTAATGAGCGAATAATTCGATCAGACTTTCTGATGCCTAGTATTCGACATCGGAATAATTTGACTAATCGAATATCAGTACTACTGGTGAAAATTCTGGTTTATTCACAATGTTGATACTATAATGAAATAGTCCTCACAGGCCTGTGTGGTATCAAAATCAAGCCTGCATTCAAAAGCCGTGATTAACAAACTATTTAGGCAGAATGCGGTGTGTTCCTCGAACGAAGCAGTCATGCTCCCAACTCCACCCGTGCGCTGGACTAAAACCCGTAACGACACACGTCGCCATTTTGAAATCAAGAATTTCGCGCCACCTGTAGCCAGCTCTGTGCACTATAAACCTACTCTCGGTTCTTTAGTCCATAATATGACAAAATATTGGCAAAATACAAATAGCATTAATAATTGAACTGGACTTTTCTGCTAAAGGGCTGTCCAAACAGGACACAGCAGATGGCATGTTCACTCACAGCAGATGAAGCTTTTTCTAAATTCACGACACATTCTGTCCACTTTTGTACATTTTTCTTTCCGAAGGAGAGGGGGAGGGGGCCAAGCTTCCCTTTACTTGCACCTTTGGACACAGGCTTGGAATGTGCACGTGACAACCACTCACATGCTCTGCTGGCCGTCGTCAAGGCCTCCGCCGTTGCCGCCAGTCCCTCCCGATAACAAGAAAGGGGAAAAGACGAGGAGGAGAGCTGTGCTGTTTCCGTGGTTAATTTCCAAACTGAAAATGGTCGCACGTACGGCAACTTTCACGGCACACGCCGATGTTGCGTCGCGGCACGCCATCTGCCGTGTCCTGTTTGGACGGCCCTTAACCCGGCGTTAGCAGTTTTTCGGGGCAAGGCGAGCGTTTTTGGTCACTTGTGCTTGGATAAACAATATAAAAAAAATACAAACTGCCAATTCTTTCAACACTAAAATTGTTGCACTACCCCCTTTAATTCATATAAGTCACAGCGACGAACCAAACATCTTTTACTGCGATTCTCGAAACGATGACATGCAAATTATTATGTGCACAAGTTGTTTCCATCTGTAACTCTACAATACATCATTAAGACCGGAGTTATCACAGAGTTTTGTTTCGTCGACGAATAAAGTACAAGTGAGCCGCGTCGAAGAAAAGGGGGCGTTGGGAAAGACCGGTACCGGGTGTGGAATAGCACGGCCAGAATTTCTCGGGACGAACACGACGTGACCAAAGGACCAGCTACGTCTGGGGATTTTCAAACCTTTCCGAGTTACTAGCTGCAAGAGTAGCCGATCCTTCCGCCTCGCATTAGAGCAGAAAAGTGAGCCAATGCGTTGCAAGGATGCTACACGTGTGTACGATACCTAGTGTCCAACGGTCAACAACTTTCACATTATGAGCCAAGGCTGTTTCTCAGTCTGCATCCGAGTGCAACCTTGTGCTCCGTCCACGCTCGTAGCCGCTCACGACGAGAGACTGCACTGGCACCATCTATGAGGTAGCCCTGGCACACTTTAGATCTGCGTATATATTTTTTATAGTTTATGCATTACTCTTTCACCGTGGGCTGAACCCTTTAAGTGCCTTGAATGAGCTGAGCTCGTCGGCCACTTTCTGGCTAAAAATGCCATGGACGAGCTCAGTTCGTCTAGCGGTTTTCTCGGTAGCCCTCAATTCCACAGATGAGCTAGGCTCGTCCGAGTAGTTTTGCAACGCTGATCATAGATGGCAGCACTCGTTTGAGTTGGCAAATTTTTTTTTCGCCTCTGCCGATTTTTGCGCAATAAACTTTTCAAATTTTATGTGTAACACTAGAGGAATAAAACTTCACAATAAAAAAAATATATGGCAGTTTTAGGTTCTTTTAGGGAAAAAAGAAATGGCACTTAAGGGGTTAAATAGCCGAGAATATTGTAAGGAACTGTTTCTCAGACAGTGTGTGCATTTGATCCTGCAAATACTGCAAAAACCTTATACATAGATCAGAGGTGTTCCAGGGTTGCCCAGTAAAGGGCGCCAGCGTGTCTAGGGTGCTCAGTGTTACCCGCCGACTGCTCTTCACTAGAGCGGCGGCATTCTTTGAGAACGCAAGTGCCCCCTTTTCCTGGCCGTGGCTGCCGTTTTGTCTCCTCCAATAATTTTGCAGTCTCCTTTGCGCAAGAGCGCGAGCGAACGAGACGAAAGACGAAGCCACGTGCTCTCGCGGCAGTGCGTGGCTGCAGCTAAGTGGAATCCACCATGCTGCGTGGCCACAGCATGGTGGAAGCTACGCCGGCCCTGACGACCTAGCACAAATGAGCCGACGCCAAGTGCCGTCAAGCGTACAATGTCGTCTCGTCATCGTTAGACGCGACCCCGCTGGCCTCCGTGGTACGGGCTACGGTGGCGCATGTGTTGTTCCCCGTACGATACCCGATGCATTTAAAGGGGTCATGAAACGCTTTTCCAACTTTTTCCTGTTTAGCTTTCCTCCTCAACTCATAAATCGCGCATTCCACCAAACAGTTCAAGAACACAAAAAGAGGGGAGGCCCCTCTTGCTTGGAATCTGGTTTATGTACCCGGACAGAGCCATTGTCCCCCTAGAAGATTAGCCCGTCGCTCAAAATTCAGACAAAAGTTGCTTTCCCCAACCCGTTCACCCCGGAGCTGTCAGTGCTGTGGAAGCTACGTGCTCATTGGGCCAGACACACTTGCCACATGATCACGCTCCTCCGAGCATACCCACGCGCAGAGATTGAGGTCAGGTGATAAAGGGAGGCGGCTGATTGGTTTGGCAAGCGCGTAGCTTCCGCCACAATGTCAGCTTAAGGGTGAAGGGACTAAGTGAGGTCCGGTTTTGGGGGACGTCAGTTTGGACCCGATGACGCGCTTTTGGGACCGCGGATGTATCACAGTGAAAAGGCAGAGAGCTTACGAAGGGGAGGAGGTATGAAATAGTCCGCTGTGTTTTCAAATTTTCGCACTGAAAGTCAGGCTTTTGTCTTTCTACCTTTTTTCTTTTGGCCCACTGAATAATCTGCTATAAGTAAAATCCCAATCGAAAATGATTTATCCCAACCCAAAATCCGTTTCATGGGCCCTTTAAGTGGGAGGCAAGGTTACGGCCCCGCTAGCGGACGACAAAGTTGTCCACGCTCTTGGAGGGCCGCCAGTCCAGCGTCATTGAGGCACTCTCAAGAGTGTCCTCTCATTGTAAGTGGTTATGAGCGAGCATTAGACTCAAATGAAGACGTGCAAACCAGCCTTTACGCGCAACAATATCTTTCGGGAAGGGGGGGGGGGGGGTGGCACTTACATCAGCCGTCACTGTGGAAGCGTTGCTCAGGGAAGACTTATTTGGCGAGTGCTTGGCCGACTCCCGCTGTGGGTGCTTTCTCTTGCGCTCTGCCAGTGGAACCACGGGGACAGCAACCTCTTCTTCATCCTCTGCAGCGGGGGATGCGAGAGCCACAGCAACGGTGCGTGAATTTACTGTGGTCGAATTTACCAAACAAAGCAAAGACCTAAATGCCACTTTAGGAACAGGTTTGAGGGGGGATCGGTGGCCGAGTGGGCTAGCGCACACCAAGACGGAGCACGTGGAGCGAAAGCTCGCGCTGCCCCTGCCCGTTTCGATCTAGATGAGCGTCGTACCAGCATGTGGTCGTGTATCACTACTGCGTGATGCAAGTTAAAGATTCCAGGCTAGCAGTTGTACTGCACTGGCTAAAATTCTCATCTACAGCTGGGAGACAAGTTGCCCGTTGAGGCAGACTAAGTTCTAGGCTGTATAAACATACACACACCCCAAACTTTTTTTTTTTTTTGAACAGGCTTGAGCTTTTAATAGTGCGGTAACAAACACATGAGCGAAGGTCAGTGGCTGGACCTCAACTCTCCATAGAAACAATGCCATAAGAGGAGAAAAATGACTGGTTTTGATTGTCATGTATTTTTTTCGCTTTAGAGGGCACCCAGTTTCCTAGAGACCATGAATGGCTTCCCAGACTACTAACATAGGCTGTACATCTATTAGAAGGGAGATGCAACAATTTCTGTACTTTGTGCAAATACCACTTAGAATGAATCCCTAACTTTATTGACATACAAAACACGCTTTTGTTTTTCACCACAGGCAAAAGAAGTCGCAGAAAAACAATTAAAGAAAAACAAGCAAAGCTCACCCTCGCAACATTCAGTCAGAACAAACGACCACGTGACCTGGAGCAGATTATATGCTTCCAATGTTGCTGAGGTTGTCAAAGCGCAGGACATGTGCCGAGTTCCAGACATTTTTATGGTTTGGCTATTGTCGTCATTGCAGCGACTGGATACAAGCCACTACCCAAATGCTTGTCAAACTAGTGATTATCACGAGCCCAAATCGAGTGCTCACGCAATGCTCCGAATTAAAATGTTGTCATGGGGGCGGGGCATTGCGACCACCCAGCTATGTCATCAAGTCTTGCAAAAGAAATTGAAAAAAAAAAAAAAAAAACTCGCTTTTGTCTTTGACATTACACCGCAACAAAGGAGTTTTTTGGTTAGTGGCATTGCGTGCGAGTATACATGGGTCCCACTAGTGCCAGTAAGCTTGAGTAAAGTAAAAAAAAAAATTCTAAGTGGGGGTATCGCTGCACGGTCCCTTTAAAGGAATCGTGGTCTAAGCAAGCAAGCTTCTAAATTGCTGATCTTTTCGGGCATAGCGCTTACAAATACTTGCAGTATGCGGGCAGAATTTCAACGTCTTTGCTCATACAGCCCCTAAGAAAATTGGGTTAGATCAGCAAGATAGGTGGCTCGCCGGACCGCCCAGACATCAGACATAGCCTGGCTGTGCATCACTGTGAAGTTTCACAAACAGGACAAACGTTTCATGAACGAAGCTCGTGGGTCTACTTTACCACGCAGCACGGCTACAGCCAATCATCCTTATTTACGGAGACAGCCCGTGAGGCACTAATAATGATTAAATCCCAGCGACACACACGGAAAAGCTCATACTTACTATCTGCGGGACTTTTCAGCAGTATTGTGTGCTCCCACTTTTCCCACATGCTTTTTCTGGTCACAGACATGGGCCAACGAGTTTGCACACCTCTCATGGTGTCTATGAAATTGCTCCTATCAAATTCCCAGACTTTTCGAGGTTTTCTCCTAAACAGTCCAATTAAATTCTCTGAACATTACGAAAGAACAAAATGCGGAAGATTGGGGTTGCAGTGGCTGTTCGGGCTGTTCCCGTTTTGGTGAATCGAGTGATGGCCTACACTGCATGGTGATGCCTGGGCAACTGCCACTCAGGGCCATTCATGCCTCCACACTTTCCCACTTCGTTGAGTGCCACTGAACCGTCGACATCGGTAATTTTTTCCCCATTTAACCAACCTTGTGACGATTTCCCAGACTTTTCCAGAGGCTTCCAAATTCCCTGACAATTCCAGGTTTTCCGGGTTGCTGAATATCCTGACCTCTGTTTATGTCATTTGTACTTGTGCCACCTCACCTTTGCCAACCCCACTTGCATCTATACAGCCCTAAGTAGCCAATAACCAAGCTTCGCTGGGTGTGCCTAGAACATACTTACAGTGCTCTTTTTTAACCGCATAAATTGTGAAAAGGCAAAACGTTGCCCGAATGTGATGCCAGAAGTTGGATACAAGTTTCAAAACTGTGTTCACCAACACATAAAAAAGAAATAATTCTTTTTTATTTTTAGTTCCAGTTTTAGCGTGGGGCACTCAACTGACAGCAGAAAGTTCTCATCTGCTCCTTGTACACAACACTGTGGGGCACTACACCCTCCAATAGAAAATTTCAAATGTTTGCCTTCAGATCATTACAACTCAGTCATGCCACGCCCTTAAACTTTCTCGCCTTAGCACGCTCACTGTGGTGCTGCGAGCGGTTTCAACGTTCTATCATATGTGGCTCATTTGTGTGGACCAAGGTACATTTCAAGCTTAACACATCGTCTTTCGGAACCAGTAAACACCATGACGTGCGGTGCTCTGGGAATGCGAACTACAGCCAATCGGCTAATGCACCACTCACCAGCTTTTCAACATCATGCATTCCAGGCAGACATGCAGAACAGGTTGACATTAGATTTAACCCCTCCTGACCTCTGTATCTACCTTTCCCCTCCCTCCCTCGTACTTCAGTGTCTTGCGTACGAGGCCATACCCTAAAGCTTATTAAAAACAATGTTAATAAATCAATCAACCATTACCAGAATCTTTTTCCTCCTCTTCTTCCCCATCTTCATCGCTGTCCTCTTCGTCAGACTGCTCTTCGTCTTCGTCGGACTGTTCCTCGTCCTCTTCGTCGTCAGCAGCGTCCTCTACCATGTCGGCCTCGAAGTCTTCGTCTGAAGAATCGTTGTCAGTGCCGATTTCGTTGCTGACAAGCTCGACCAGGCTGTTGTTGCTCTTTAATGCTGCAGCCTTCTTGGTGCCATTCTGGGCTTTTTTTGACTTAGCCACTGCTGCAAAACGAAAAAAAACAAAAAAAAAAACGGGATTGGACAAGTAGCAACGTCTAGCTCTCTACGTGCCGTCGAAATGTAATTATAATTCCTCGCTGGCACACTTAGACTTGTAGACACATTGTCAACAAAACTGTCCAAATGCTAAACAAACTTAATAGAGATGAGGAGGAGGGGCATACCCTCCTCTCTGTACCCTCCCCTCCTCCTCCTCAAGAGCTGTGCTCTAGTTTTGCATTACAGAGATTTGTCAACGTCTTTCATTTTCTTCAAGTGCTTCCAGCACTCCTGGAGGCTGTCCGCCACCGTGAATGTAGAATCGGATTATTCGGTGGTAAATACTTTTATCTCGTGACATTACGCTTCTTTAGACACTCGAAAGTAACCGAAAGAAGTGTGTAGTTAGCACATTTAATGTTCTACACCAGGGGTTCTCGAAGTCATATCTCGAGGCCCTTCACGGCCTTGGCACTAATGCAATAAAGCCATACAAAAGCCTATGAACCATGTAAACAATAATGCACATACTAGGTAGCATTTGGCTTAAACTTGGTGTGCATCAATGTGTGGCTTGGACTGTCGAGAAAAGCTCTGGAGACCCATGAGGGTACTCTGGAGGACCCCTGTGCTTTTGGGGAACCCAGTTCGAGGACCCCCGTCCTAAACAATAAAAACACCATTCACTAGCCAAGGTTGTGGTGCAAGAATGTTTTTTCAAAGACATGCACTCCCTATGGGGTTATCCATAACACACCCCTTCAAACAACTTTCAAGTGTCACAGCATTCCTTTGTTGGGGAGAGCAAGTCACCTTTGTCTGGTAAGAAATCACTATCTTCGCTGTCCTCATCTTCAACCTGGAGCACTGCAAGCAAGATAAGAGTTAAGCTGAGCTCCCAGTGCTCAGACATCCTAAACTTGCAATGAATGGCCAAGAGGGCACCCCTTCTCAGAAAAACAAAACAAAAAACAAAACACATCGTGGCAAACGCCTCACTGGTGATTGCTCCGACGTCTCAGGTCAGATGACCAGTCGACTTGCATCAGCTAGCTTGCTGGAATCAGTGCTCGATGGCATATTCCTTAATTAGCTCAAAGTAAAGTAATGCCATTACCTTCCCTGTCTGCTAGCAGGGCACAAACAGATACTAACACACAAACAACCAAACCCTCACAAGGTGATCAGCTGATCGATCTCTGTCGTCATGGCAATCACCATTTTGGTCCTTTTAAATCTTCAAAGCTTCCAAAGGGTCATTCTGAACGAGGTGTGCCAACATCGCTGTGTATGCAATAAACTTATCAATCCCACTTATCTCCACAGATCTCTTACAATGTTATTGGTTTTCTTCCATATTTCAAGTCATCAAAATTACTTTGCAATAGGGTGCCTACATGTTTCCGCTCCGCTTTAGGGTGGCGCCAACTTCTTGTTACCCTTTCCCAGATCGTCTCCCACCGCCATTTTTTCCCACTAAACAACGTTGAGTTTCTGTAGTCTCGACACACTGGCAACACTGTGAGGCCACTTCCGTTTCCGTTCATAAGAGGAGTCGGAGGCTCAGCGGGATGGAGGTGGTTGTGGGTGTCTCTCACTTTATTTGGGTATTTTATATTTTGAAGTTTTGAGCAGGAAGTGTGCGTCGCTTTTATCTAAACGCGAGTTCTCGCGACAAAATGGAATGCGACAGATCGGCATTGAACGCCGAAACCTCGCCGTCGAACGAGAGCGGTGAGCGCTCCCTAGCCCTAACGAGGATTAGCGGCGTAGTCTGAGCGCACGACCGGCGAATGTGACAAAATGGTCAACGAAAACAGCGGAGGTTGCCATGGTAACGAGGTAGGCAACACTGGTTTGTCGGCAACAGGTATCACAAACGTTGTCGCCACCCTAAACAGCGGAGCGGCGGAAACATGTAGGCACCCTACTTTGCAATACTGCCAAGCATTGACACAACATGTGGTAATGGTGCGAAAATGTGTGCTTGTTTCGCCGGCGTGTGGATAATAAAATCTCAGAATACAAGCAATGTCTTTACAAAGCAACCTGTCACCATGAATTTGGGTTGGCTCGCCAAGTAGAAACTGCTCATTACATGGACCAAAATGGCGACCATATGGGGAGCTTGGAGCTACTTTTCCCAGTATCTAGCAACTTTAGCTCACAGCACAAAAAAAAAAAAAAAAAAAAAAAAAAGAGAAAAGGATCATTACTACAAAAAAAAAAAAAGAAAGCTAGCTTATACAAAAAAATAACAAAAATAGGCACTAACACACAAGGCCCACATCAATTTGCAACAATTTTAAAGAAAACCAATAGATAAAGGCAGTGTCATGTCGAAAAAACAACAGGACAAAACACAAAATAACATAGTATATTTATTTCTATGCAATAATGCTACAGTTTTAGAAAAAAAAAAAAAAAAAAAGTTCTGCCATGTTGTTTTAATAGACCTTTGCCAAATTACCCAAACACTATTGAGAATGCTGGGAATGCACTCCCCTTATCTGTACGTAAAAGTAAATGACTAAAATAAGGCACTGACGAGCGCGCATATGAAGTGTTATCGATCTTAGGCTTAGAAAAATTGCCGAAGCAAACACCAGCACGTACAGCGCACGTCACTATGCTCATTGCAAGCTTCTTGGGTCTTGGGAAATTTAGCAAAAGGCCTATTAGCAATATGCGCGACCAAAAGTGTCGCTGTGGTCGGCGTTCCACGATTGGTCGAACACTCGCCGTGATGCGACAATCCCAAGCTTCTATGGTGCTTTTTAAACGCACCATCAAACTTGCGGTTCGCAACTGTTGATAAGAAGCCACAATCACAATTCAGTGAATTCCAGTCGTGACATCACGGATGGGAACGTAAGACGGCACCATCAAAACATATCAGTGCCAATGCCGAGTCTACGGGTCAGAGACTTACGTCGGCTAGTCAGGTTGTGGTCCTCAACCTCCTCCTCCGCCGAGCTGGAGCCCTCCTCGGACGTCGCGTCGGGCTCTCCGAGCCCGTTCACGTCGGTCAGGTAGCCCGTCAAGTGGACGGTGCCCTCCCCGTTGAGGAAGAAGGTCACCTCCTCGCCCTCGACAAAACTTAGGTCCAAGGGAACCTGTAGCGCCTTCTCGTAGTCCAGTGTGCAAAGCAGGAACTCTGCCTTGGCGTGCTCCAGCATCAGCATCACGCGCTTGTGCGACGAGGAACCTGCAGGAGCGAGTTCGGATCTCTCTCAGGCGGCAAGGTGCGAGAGAAAAGAACTTCTATTCGTGTCTTTCTACCGCTTATTCCAAGTAACCTATTGGCTACCGCGCTCGGTGCGAGCTTTTGGGCCGTCCGTACCGCATGGTTTTTGCGCTAGAACGGAGCTACTTTCTGTGATACCATTTGGCTCTTACAGTAAAAATAAATTGGCAAAACAAAGAAACGTGTGCCTTACCACTCTTGAAGACTTTGTGTCAGTTGACTAATTGCGGGGGAAGGGCAGTTACATTTTTTATTGTACAAAAAGTCTCGAAGCACTCTGGCACATGGAGAAAGGAATACTGATCACAATCCTTTTAGATCAGTAGGCGTTTAAGCTCCGATAAACTAAGGAAGAGGAGAAGACGAGAGCGCGTGGGGATGTCAGAATGCCGAGCTCTGGTTCGAATGATTAGTGGGTAGACCTAAAGCCAGCTGCAGTTGTCTCCACTGCACTCGTCAAACGCGTTAGAATGCCTTTGACTGCACTGCACTTCTGGAACGCGTTAGAATGCGAAAGATAAACGCCGGATGCGGGCGCTGCAACTCGTTTGACGCGTGCAGTGGAGACAAAGGAAGCTGGCTTTAGGTCTACCGACTAATCATTCCAATCAGAGCTCGCCATTCCAACATCCCCGCAAGCTCTCGTCTCCTCCTCTCCCTCAGTTTCTAGGTGCACTAAGCTTTCTCATTATTTATCAAGCACTCGTAATCAGAAGCTGAAAAATCGTCATCATCTTTGCTTTCAAAGACAACACCTACAATTTCCTTCCCGGAAAGATTATGCTGACTACCCACCCTGCCATTTGCCCCCCAAGTAAACACCGCAATTTAATAACAATATATATATATAAAAAAACAAAAACAACTCAGGTAAACAAACGGGTTGTTGCCATCTGTTGGTAATGGCAACTTCACTACTACAAGTTGAAGCCCCTTGATGCATCTGTCTTGCAATGCACGAGGCACATGCCTTGTGCAGCCCTTGGAGGCAAATAGCGGTGGAGAACCTGCTCGCGGCGCGTGTCTTGCGTGCCTGCAGAACAATGGCGTACCTGCCAAGTTCGGAGAAATCAAATCCGGGAGAATTTCAAAGGGAAAATGGGGAGGGGGGGGATTGCGGTTTTTTAAAAAGAAGTATTGATAACAAATTTACATGAAGACAGCTTCATTACATTTATATTGCACTGCTCATGCTAGCGAGATAAAGCTGGGCCCCACTATCGTAGCAGCCGTTTGTTAAAACGGCAAAATCTCCTTGTTTATGGGTGGGGAGGGGGGGTAATTGCGTTTTCCGGAAGATTTTTCTGTCAATCAAACCACCGTACATCCATACAAGTCGGTCAAAATTCGGGAGTTCCAGGGTAATACGGGAGACTTGGCAAATACATAATAGTTTGCGGCACTTGTAAGACAAGCAAAATTAGCCGGCAACTATGAGCAGCTTTTGAAAACCATCCATATCTCGAGCCCGGTGATTTGCCCGCTTTGACAAATTGGTCCCTGCTGGTGCGCCCGGTGATTCGCCGGTCTTGGTAATGAATAGTTTAATGCCTTGGCTACTATTTACGAGTGTCACTCATGCAGTCGTAAGGACCAGAAAGTCAGATCCCGGGTCTGGCTCGCATTTCCGTTTTGAAGGTTGTTTTGTGCATTCTCTGGCAGAAGGCAGCACTGTCACAATTGGTCCACCCCCTTCAAGCTAGTTGTTAGCTTCATATTTTCACAAAAAAAAAAAGAAAAAAGGAAGGAACATGGCATCGAAGCAGAGGTCTGCTTTAGCCAACGAATAAATACAGAAACTTTTATTTGGAAGTGACAAGTGGTCTACCATTTCCAAGCACAGGCCTCTGTGATGACTATGAAACTATCTAAAATCAGCGATTTGCACGAAAATTAGAGGAAACATTCACTTGGACTCCAGATGTTGTTTGCTGCTGGATATTTCCTGGATATTTCACACAGTACCACACAATGAAGGATCTCTCAATGAACACATCGGGTGGCTAGGAATTAATAATGAGAGCAACAAGTATCTTGAGGCCAAGTGAATGTTTAATGCAATTTTCATGCAAAATTGTAAATTCAGAAAAACAAATTTGTAGTGTTTTATGAAAAAAAGAAACCGAAAAACATAGTTTGCAATGAATTAAGCCTGAATATTTTTGCTCTGAGAAAAGAGAGCATGCGCAACTTTGCTTACTCCCTTTAGTCTCTCCAAATGGGGATTTCCGCAAACAAAAGCATTGCTGTGGTCTGCCTTTCATGATTGGCCAAACTCTCACTATGAAGTCTTTGGCAGGATTGATTCTGCTTTTATTGACGGAAATGAGACGATTGTCAAACGGTCAGCTCTGACAGGGTTGTTTTAAGGATGCGATGACCCCAAACCCACACTTTTTACAACCAAACTTGTTGTTCAAAACTAATAACCTGGTGCTCACGTCTACAGGCCCCTGCCTGTCTCTCTGTCTAGCTTTGCAAGCCACTCAGAGTATCACAACTGTCGCTAACAAAGATTATTATTATTATTATGATCATGGGTAGAAACTTTAAAAGGGTGCCACAGAAACATCTCGTCGCCAATATCTTCTATGGTAACTCCGTACAGTTTTGAAGGGAATGCTAAAAGGATCATCTTTCCTGTAGAAAATCAAAATTGCATGTTGGTTTTTAAAGGGACAATGAACTCCCCAAGAAAGATTTCTTTGAAATGCCTCAATAAAACAAATATGAAAAAAAAAAAAAAAAAGATGTCTACAAATCTCTGTAATGCAAAATTAGAGCACAGCTCTTGAGGAGAAGGGGGGGGGGGGGGGGGGGGTACGGAGGGGAGGGTATGCCCTCTCGTACCCTCCCCTGCTCCTCCTTAACCCGCTAAACCTAGCAGGGAATATTTCCCCACTAAATTTAGCGGGGAAATTGACGTCACGTGGCCTCAACACCAATTCAATTTCCCGATAAATTTAGCGGGGCAATCACGCTGACGGCAACGCCGCGAAACGCGGAAACGGGCGCCTAAGAGCTGCGCTCTAAAAAAGGCGCTACATTTGATTCAGGTTCCAAAATATAAGCATGGTTCAGAGCTGCCTAAATTAGTCTCGCAATGCAAATAATGCAAGAATACTTTTTTTTTTAATTTTTTATGTTTTTTTTATGGGGGGGAAGGGGAGGTGCAGGAAATAGTCATTGCTAGCTGGAAATATTTTTTCTGGGTAGCTGGGCCCTCGTAAATCACGTTCCGGTAAAAATCTTGGAAGCATATACATCTTAGCAGTGTCCCTCTAAAAAGGCTGTGCAACGATATCGAGTTAGAATGTTTCTCGCTCTACACATGCTTACTGGTACTAGGGAAATTCAAGTATTCGCAACTCCAGCGCGCCGCTCGCCCTCCCGCAGACGAACGGAGAACCAGAGGAGCGGGGACGGCAGTGGCGGCGGCCGCGTGCGGAAACGCTGGCAGGGACCGGCCGCCTTGATACGTGAAGTCGTTTTAACGAAAAAAGTGAGCGCGTTAAAAAAAGGAATTCTTGTGCTCCGCCTTGCAACAGCCTTGCACGAAGGACCGGGATGTCTAATTTCATTAGGGACCATGTTGAATTAACCTGAGACTGGGGTAGAGAAGAAGCATCGAAACGTAGAAGGGACAGAAAATAGACAGGACGACGTCTCATTTTCTGTCCCTTCTACGTTTCGACGCTTCTCTACCCCAGTCTCAGGTTAATTCAACATGGTTAATATTCACCAGCTCTCCTGCACCCTTACGATTTTTTCATTAGGGACTTTTCGTGTATCGCATGCGCTGCGGATTTCTGGTCTTGTGCATGGCCGCCAGCTCAATCTGAGCTCAACGTGACGGAAAACGCTCCCACTCCCATTAGCAATAAAGAACTCTATAGTACGGTCTACGGAAAGTCTATTCTTTGCCGTAAGTAGGAGAAAACTCGTCGCGCAATGGTATGTCGAGCAATACAAATCGGGAATGGGTTCGCGGTTTAAGGCCGTTACAAGGAACATGACCGTTTATTCCAAGCACTTTAAAAAGACAGAATACCCATACTCGCTTTCAGGTAATTACAAAGCAAATAAAGAAATGCTCAAAGCATTTTAAGCGCGTCTGTGTTAGCCAGCTGTTTGTAACGAGAGCTTGGAACACGCAGTTTTGGCCAGAGGGACCGCCATGTTGCAAATAACAAGGTACAAAAAATGTATGGTATATTAAAAGTTTTCTTTTGATAAAGCAATAAATAAAACCCCTAAACACGCCGATTATGTTAATAGGCAGTTTTTGCATAGCGTACGACACCCCTAAACTTCAGCTGGACGTACAGCGCACTGACGTTCAACCGGCGCTACCAACTTTCACGAGCGACTTGATAGCCGAGTTGTGCAACTTATTAAAATAGCTCAAGTAACTGTAAATGTCTGTAAAAAAAAAAAAAAAAAAAAAAAAAAAAAAAAGTAATTGGTTTTTTTTGGCCCTACCGCAAAACCTCAGTGTTTTTTTTTTTTTTTTTTGGTACTCTTTGTTGCGAACTTCAGCTGTTTAACCTGTTATATTGCGCCGTCATCAAGCCTCGCGTAAAAGTTGGGGCCGCCAGTTTGGCTACAGTGGGCTGCACGGCGAACTGAAGTTTTGGAGTGTCGTATATGTTACAAAAAGTCCAAGAACTACAACATTTTTTTTACAGTGATGAGCACGGCAACGCTCCTGGCGTGCACTGAAAATTGTGCCTTAAAGGCGCAGCGTGAGCTTGCGGTCGTAATGCTACACTGCACGGTAGCCTGTGGTAACAAACTTTCTATCAATAACCACAGAGCAGTTTGATTATGTGTTGCAATACACTAAAACCGAGGCGGTGAGCAGCGATTTGTGAGGCTGTGACGCGAAGACACCAATACTGTGAACGCTGCACTTCCGAAGCTTGACGGTCACCGTTTGCGGCTCTCTTTAGAGCACTAGTGGTCAGGCAAAGCGCGAACGTATGTTCATCTCCCTCAAAAATATTCTGCCACAAACAGTAACGTGGCCGCCAACTGGTGCCTAAATAGCACTCGCTCACTGCAAAGCTTGGCAATTTGAGGTTTGTGCAACTTTTAAATAACAGCATGCTCGTTTTCCTAACACGCATCAGCATCTCCGTCACCTGTAATATGATCCCTCCCTAACCGCTTAGCATTTGTAGACAAATAAACTATTTTTAGCGCGATGAACACCGTCAGCGAGCAGGCGCACAGGATATCCTGCAGAATCTATCCCCGTCTCTTCCGACATCTTGGAACTACTGCCCCGCCACCTATAGGGCGTTGGAGTTGCGAATATTCATGTGCAATGCCACTGACCCAGGAGCTTCTTTTTTGCGGTTTGACTTCGAGGATAAAAGCTAACTTTTTCTTTCAGTCACTCCTTTGCCAAACCTGAGGACGTATCATGAGGGTTGCAGTGTTGAAATGGTCATTGGGATTACCCTACGGCGGCAACATTTGGGTGCGGCTCATAGATTGGACACAAACACCGTGTGAGCACTCGATTTGAACCCCTGACAATATATGCCTTGACGAGCATTCGGGTAGCCGCTTGTGTCCAGTTGCTGCAAAGACAAGAAGAGCCGAACCCCAACTATGCCTGGAACCCAGCGCGCGTCCAATGATGAACCCTGAAGACATAATTACTTTTTTTTTTCTTTTTTGACACCATAATTTCCTCCAATTAATTTGGTTTCGAGTATTGTTCCTTTTTTAAAATTCTATGGCCCTAATAATAATTAAGCAAGACCGGTTCGTGCCCCTGTGGCCCTGCCAACAAGATAACTTGCCGCTAAGCACATACCGTTTTATATTGCTCCCAAAAACCATACTTTCGCTGTGACGCCGGGAACGTGCCTCTGAAGGCTCGTTGACATAGTTGCGTTTGACTGCGTTAAGACTCCTTACGTCGAGCTGTTGCTATGGCGATACTAACGCCGAGCCAATGGGGAGGCACTGTGCTGCAGGCTGCAATGCAGTCGACACAACTGCATGAACGAACGTTGGGTGGCACGTTACTCAAGTCCTTATTTTGTCCGCTCGACTACCGTGGGCAGACGACGCAGGTCGGGAATGTTACAGATGGCGCAGCTGTGGGACCGAGATGGCAGATGGCCGTCCAGCTGTAACCGACTCTGAAGTTGGTCAGTCGACGGAAAGCGAGGCAGTCACACATAGGGATGCTTCAGCTTCACCGACACTGACGTCTGTAATGTCTTGGCTGGTGGCCAGGAGACGATGTGGCCTGGTGTTCGAACCTTCAAGAGCACGTGGCTGGTGCTTAGGACTGACATTCCAGGTTGCATTAAAACTAGAACCGGATGCTTCCCTGTGTCGAGCTCGAGTCTTTGCCCGACATATGCAACAACGTCCATCCGTCTGCTATGCTCTCACCTTTAGGACAAACCATTAGAATTGTAGCTATCTCCAATTTTCTCTCGGTGGATTTTCTTGTTACAGTTCTGCAAACACTATGAAGCAGGGGTGGTACCTGATGTTATTCAGGAAAAGATGCAGCCATCCCGGTCCTAGCAGTTAACTTGAGAATAAGACCCATGGGGACAACAACACAGATTATTTGTTTGTGCTTCTGACACAGCGCTCAGCTGACATAGCCGAATGCTGCATCACCAATCAGTTGGAGGCTCAATCAATAAAGCACTGATTGAACATGAGTGTCAGCTGAAGGCTAATGAAGCAATCATATCCAATCTGTGCCCCGTGCTCGATCGAGGTAGGTCAGGGTCAGCCTTACACTATCAAGCGCCCTGGGCGAATACAAGCTAGGGCGCTCCCCCTCCCTTTTTATACATTAATTTCTACTAGGTACGACACCAGATTGTTAGTAAACATGCGAGTAGTGGCGCAACATGAAAGCAACAAACAGCGACCGAGCATATACATGGCTTGCACGTGATGTCAGTCTGCTCTGTGCGATCGTCCAGGTCGGCTGAGGTCGCTGACCCCTAAGGCCAGTACTGAAGTAAAGGAAAAAAAATCCAGTCCACAGGCTTTGTGCTCGGTAAACACTGAGCTCTGCAGAAAACATGCTAGAAAAAGTGCCTATAGTTCTATCTCCTTGCCAATAGGCCATTCAGATGCATTTCAGGCATCATAATGTCACTTTCTTTGCTTTTTTTTTAGAGTAGAAAAGAGTGTACCTACATCTGCAGTCTATTACACTTCCTTGATTACCCTCCCCCTGACAATAGCTCTTCTTTGCTTTTTTTGTGCATCTAACACCATCTGCAAATAGTTATTATACACCAACTCCATTCTGTTACATCATGCTGCGGTGATGGCGCTTTGGGCACACTTCCGAGTGTGGGCGGAAGTTGTTACGCGGAACGGGCATTCCCATTTTGTTCTGGAAGAAACCAGACTAAAGCCTGCCTCCTTGTTAAAGCGCTGAGACTGGGGCTGTGGAACCAAGAAGGTGTGAAGATCAGTTTTCATCTGATTTCTGCCTACTTGGTTCATTTAAGAACGTGGATAGGTGCCGTGAAAAGGGAAAACCACAATGTCAAACCTCGATTGTGTGCGCTTTGGGTTAATTCAGACAGTTGTGGACACCAGGTTTTTTTTTTTCTTTGTTGTTGCAACATGAACGTGGAAAAATCATCAAGTCATCCGGACGACCCACAAACCATGTTCAGTGCATCTTCACACTCAAACAACTGTCTAATTGTTCAAACTGTCATCTGCTCTTTCAAACAACAGCGGCCCATAGATCAAATGTTGACCTGGTAATTTCAAAAAGAAGTAAGTGCAAGCCTTAAAAGACAAGTTTGAAGGTTTTTCGGGGTAAGTAGGCTCGGTGTAAACCATAGATATAAGGAGATGCTGACCATTGTTACCAGTGGCCATCATTGACTTGTTATGCCCGATTCACTTGGTCCAATCCTGCTTGCGATTTTCAGTATAAACTTCGAGTATCACAGCTACCGTCTACGCTTTTCCTGTCCAAGCGACGTCGCGACTGAAAATAGTGAGGAGAATCTCATCATGTGAATCAGGCTTTACCGTCGTATCTGCGGCGCTCACGCAGAATTAATCGCCGCACGTCACATTATTTACACAATGTTTTGCGGTGTAACGAGCCTCGTTAACTTCGCTCAGGCCACTAAAGCAGTAAGAAATAGCTAGGAAGACCAATCAACAATTCCAATGCAAAAAAGAGCAAGCTAGGGGACTCCACCCATGCCGCCAATATTGCATTCCAATGGTTTGTTGATCAATGAAGCGACACTGTTTGCCCCCACTCTATCGCGCACGCGTGGCGCCGGCGGCATGCTGCTAGTGGCACTCCTGTTTGTTTGTAAACATGAGTGAGTATAACCGGCAAACAGCTCCTGGTCATAGCACGTGTTACGCCGACACATTACAACTGTGTCTAGGATACACACTACGACTAAGGGCACTGCTTATGAGTCAGGGGTGGTCTGTAACAGCACATTAAGGAGAAGCTCTATGGCTTATTATGTGCGCTATTATTTTCTTCAGCTCGATATATATGTGTGCATAACTCAAAACGCCATTTAAAAAAAGATTTATGGCACGAAGGCGTACAGTGGTCGGATTGTTCTGTACGACCATTCGTGCAGAAGAAATGTCCTTTCTTTGGAGGCGCTGGCGGCATGTCTGGTGCCAAAAGAGACCCTTAGGCCCGCTTCATACGGGGCAACCTTTGCAGCAATTTCGAGGTTGCTGGCGGGTTGTTCCCTAGCTTTACCTAGATCGACGCGAATGCTATGTCAGAAGAGCCATAGTTGGCTTACTGATGTTTAATATATACAAGAAAAAGGAACAAGACTGGCCTATGGCCGTTACAGTCGGGAGCCAGGGATCGAATGCCTCAGTCCGGGGGGCCACGCTCAGCAAGCGCGCGCCCTTCTTCGTCCTGCTGCTGATGATAGCTGTTTGCAGAAGAACTGCGAACACATCAACGAATTGCTGAGATCGGGTCCGGCTCGAAACGGACGAGCAACTCGAACAACTGGGAGACGTTTGAAGCGGCAGCAGCCAATCAAAGACGCGATATTGTCACGCGACGCCCCTGTGGTGATGATGATGACAGCTAAAGACTTCGTTCTGGTTTGAAATGAAGCGTTTTGAAATAATCAGTTTCAGAAACATGAGTTAGTATTCTCAACACAATTCAGATATAAAAACACGTTTTTAGCGCACAGCTGTGCGTCTAAATAGTGCAGGAAAAATTAAATTTCATGATGATGATGGCAAGTCGTAGAAAATCGGTTGCTGCGTGTGAACGCGGGCGGCCCGTGTTGCTGGTGTTGCGACGTCAAATTGCTGGGTGAAATTGCCCCGTCTGAAGCGGGCCTTAGTGGACCTTTGAGGTCACGTGCTTGTTACCATCCTTTGTTTTGGAGGACCGGATTACGGATCTGATGCCTACAACCGAATGCACTTATGCATTGGGTGCTGAAAACAGCGTTCTTTTCCAGCTCGCTACTTGCATCACTGAAGCTTTGATTCACGGCGCCAGTCAAACCGCGTCGCCACGTATTCGAAAACGACCGCCTTCTGTTCTTGCGAAACATTCGTAATTTAGCAAAGCTACTCTCTCCAAAACAAAGCTTTCTGCCGGTGCTCTCTAGGTAAACATTGCACAGATATTTGAATCGTTCGACGCAGACCACCGGTTCAGCAGGTTCACTCAACTCACCAGACTGCCGAGGTTCTAGTGCCGCCATCGAAAGGTGGTACGAAGTGTTTACCACCTGCGAGTAGCGCTTGCCACTCTCTAATGTGACTCCTGGAAAGAGAAAAAGAAAATTGTGTGACATTAGAAAAGAGCCGCGCTGGTTGCGCGCCAATAACCGAGCGCGTGCATAGCTCGCGCAACGTGGTGAAGAAACCGGCGCGGCAAGTGTTCACATTGCCAGAAGAACTTAAGGGAGAACCTACCCCAAAACATGGCTCAAGGTGCTTGTACGCTTCGACGTGGAGTGTGAAATGGCACGGGGGAAATCAGGCGCCCAAGCTCGCTACGGCCCGTGAAACACCCGACCACACGCCGATTGTTTTAACTTTCGCCGCTACTGCCGCGCTGCCGCAACTAGCACAAAAGGAAATGGACCAGGATTGTTTTCACCGTCGACACGCACGACGCCGTTTAGTAGCTAACTAAAAGGCCTATTTTATAAAATAAAAAACAAAAAATAACTATAAACATATTTCTAAAACCTTTCGTTTTATTAACTTATATCAAGTACATTCGAAGTAATCCATCAAAATAAGTACGCGACTGTTGCGGCCAGTTGCAGCCTGCAAGGCTTAGTGAACGCCATTTTGTTTTTGTAAAATGGCTCCGTTTGTTGGGATGCTTCCGAAATGAAGTTTCTTTACCTCCGGTGCTTATCAATCGGATCGTGGACCCTGGACAACGCAGGCAAAGCCGTTACGTGCTCCGTGAAAGCGAAGACACAGTGCTTCTAGTCGACTGAGCGTCTGCAGCGAACGTCTTTCGGCGGTAAGCGATACTGCCGATTACAGCAGTAGCTGTAGTGCTGGTGGGGTGGGATTTCACCTTCTTGGCTCAAGAAATTCGCCCAGAAACGCTATTGACATGTCGGCATGACGAAAAACTAGCTTTTACCGTACGGCTTCTGGGTGCCGAGACCGCTTTCGTTCCCGCCGTTCATGCAAACCATTGCGGTAGTATACCTACGTTCGTCTGCGGGAACTATGCGGTCCATTAAAACGGTACTTCGTTCGGACCGATGTTGTTCGGATTGCGTGTTTACGCGCTTGCACGAACCAAGCGATCCAACCCCTAAACCTGATCGTGGGTCTTTCTTTTTGGGCGTTCGTCCGAAAGTCGGCGAACAAGCTCTCAACTTTGCGAGCGGTGCGAGGTTAGTCGTCTACGTAGCGCGAACAGATGGTTTGCTTGTCCACTGTGCAGCGATATCGACTATCTAAAAATACGGCGGAATCTCGATGAGCGAGCGATGTCCGCACGCCTATTGTTTTAGCACACTGGAGGAGTGGGGGGGGGTTTATCAGTCCGACTCCTGACCAGCCCACCCACACGGGCCGAAAGCCTGACCAAGCAAGACCCCTTTCAGTCGGGGCCCGTCAGCAGAGCACCCGCCTCTCGACCTATTTTGTTACTTTCTTTTATTTTTAGGATGTGGGTCGCGCTCACAACGGCGGATTAAACTGCTCGAAAAGAATATCCCTTTCGTACTGTGGGACCAAAGTTGTGCGACGAATTTTGGTGGAGCCTCCGGACTGTCAGCGTTCAGATGTGTCTCCGGTCATGCGAATAGCCACACCGCCAAAGTGCTCGGCGAGACAGGTGTCGTCGGGGAAGTTTATTTTCGTCGGTTATCTTTTTGCTGCGCTTATTCGCGTGATATACTAGCCCTGGGCGCGTTTGTTTTCTTTTAGCGTCTCTGTTGTATGTATATAGGGTGTCACAAAATAAAATTTAGTTTTTTTTTCTTGTTTTTTTTTACCGCAAAAATAAACTAGGCGTCGCCGAACGCAAAGTTACGCGTGATTTTCTGAAAATTTCAATGGGAAAATGGCGGCCGACGGAGTTTTCAAATACATGGGGCTCTATGGCACCAGAAACCGAAAACGGGCGAAAATGGACTCCATTTTCCCATTGAAATTTTCAGAAAATCACTAACTTTTGATTAAGTTATTGGATGTGACCTCAAGAGCTACCTTCGGGCGGAGAATGAGCGTTCGGCGATGCCTAGTTTATTTTTTGCGGTAAAAAAAAACAAAAAAAAAAACCTGTAAATATTCTTTTGTGAACTTTTTTTCCTCTTGTGTGTGTGTGTTACGTTTTGTGACGCTTTGTGAGGGAGCATATCAACGTTGCTCGTGATGGTTCTGCTTAACCGTCGTAATGTATAGAAGAAAAATAAAAATACCGTATTACCGTATTTACTCGAGCAATAGCCGCACTATTTATGAACAAGGCCCTTGCGTCTACTTTCCCTCAAAGCACATATACATCCAATCATCGCATTGTGCAGAAATAACATAGCGAATAACTAGATCGAGAACACAACTCTCCATACAAATGCAACCTTCAAAGATGGTATCTTCGCGCGAGGACGTTATCTCTGTCCTGTAAACAGTTGGAATCATGCTGTCGATCACGGTGACTGGCAATCCGCGTGCTCCGCGGAAAAGGGAACCCTCAGGTTTTCTTCATGAGCAGTGCGGCTATTACTCGAGTAAATACGGTAATTGTTATCGTCGGCCAGTCACAACTGACACGTGATCACCATTTTCTTTGGGGGCTGTGATCACTCAGAGTCAGAGCAGCTTGATTCATCCACTGTCTTGGTATTTAATAGCCTTTTAACAAACATACTTATATAAAAATGGGAAAAAAAAGTTTTTACCAGGAAATATGATTAACCTTGTTTGTGAGTTTAAAATGATAAACATTTTGGGTGTGTACTGCGAAATTGGTGGCAATAATCTCTTCGCCAAATTACCCAAGTATCAAGGTGAATGCTGGGAACCTAGATACTGTACACGTGCTTGCCGTGTCAGTAGAAAATATTCTAAGTAAATAACCGAGATAAAGCCTCGACGAATGCAAGCGTAAAGTGCTATTTGTTTTAGAGTTTTGCTTAATAACGGTTGCTCCTGTGGAGGCCAGCACGTGCAGCGCATGTAACTACACGCACAGCGTGTTTCTTGGTGCTTGCGTAATACACCATCCCAGTATTTACGAGTTCTCAGCCCAGCCGCGATAGCCTCAGCCCAGAACACTGGAAATGGAACCGGCCAGGACCCCTTTCTTTTGGAAAGGTCTTAGTACCGCACATGCTTGAATGAAGTAAATATGGACCCCTTCAAAAATTGCGCCCTCTTACTGTCTGTCTAAAAATATTGTGCAGTGGCGTGCGCAAAAAACACCATGAAAATGGCCAGTCTTTCAAATGTATACAGTTTCTTAGAAGTGAGTATTCTATCATTTATAGACTTGCCAGCTTGTTGGTGTTCTTTGCGCACGCTATTGTGCAGTATTTTGATAGTCTGTGATAGTCAAGCATTGCTGAGAACGTGGGTACGCCTCATCAATGCTCGACTATGAGAAGATCTAGCCACACCAGCACCGAGATGGCGGCATGAAAAAACCGTACTTGCAAAGATCTTTTTTTTTTTTTTTTTTTTTTTCTTTTTATTTTGAGTGAAACGTTGCAAGCAAAGCACCACCACGGTCACTCGATTAGGACTGAAGGATTGAGTGGCCGTGGCACCACACACATTTGGGCCTTCAAACTACGAACGGTGTTTCAATATATTTACTGTGACGATACTTTATTTCGAATAGATTTGCGGATGCGATAGGGAGTGATTGAGTTCATCTTAGCACGGTACTTAAATGCACCGTGAAACGCAAATTTGCGGTGGACAACCCAATGATCCTTCGCACCTTACGAGACTACGTGATCGTGAGTTGCCTTTGATGTATGTATGCAATGCCACGAGTGGCGATTAGCTAGCTGAAGGTGCGATTTACTTTTCTCGTTCCGCTGCTTTGGAGGTTCCATAGACCCTTCGCAATGTTGTATTTTAGAGGGAGGAGGGAGCGTACCATCGCGGACAATATGAGCTGCAAAAGTTCTTCTTCCTTTTCTAAAATACCTGCCAACATCTAAAAAAAAAAAAAAAAAAAAATTGTCAGAACGGTTTTATGGAATGTGAACCTTAGGTCCCACTCCCTGAACACTCTGGACATATTGAGAGACAATGCCCGATACCAGTGGCGTAGCCAAAAAGAAAACGTCAAACCTTCCCCGCAAAAAAAAAAAAAAAAAAAAAAAAAAAAAAAAAATGGTTACGTTTTTGTTTGATACAATATCTACACTGCCACCCCTCTTCCAATGTATTGCATTTCCCGTTTCACCTCGAGGACCCTGACTGAATAGGCTGTTAATCTAACATAAGGAGAAAGTTTACGTAAGAATCAATTATTATTATCCGCCAAGATGTCATTTTCTCTTCGTCGATATTTAACCTGTTTACAAACAAGCCCTCGCGATGTACTGCGCTTGCTCCCTATTGGCCCCGAGCGGGACCGATTGGAGCGCTGCGATCGTTCGACCGTGACGTAGGATGGGGGATCACGTGATAAGGCCAGCTATCCCGCCTTGCTTTGGTCGGGGACTTCGGAAACCGTTCGCTCAATACTTTTGCTTCTTTTTTTTTTTTTGTGTGTGTGTGTGTGTGAAGCCTGATCAGCACACGCGCGGATCGGCTTCAGCAGCTGTCGAGCTCAGGGAGCAATGGTAAAGTACTGTTCGGTATCGCAATGCCGCAGTTACGCGAACGACCCAAACATCAGCTTCCACATCTACCCCAACGAGAAGCATTCCAATATAATTCATAAATTGTGAACAGTCTCACCCTGCATAGCAGTACATTTCTCATACAGCTTCAATATCATTTGAACGATGGGGTTAAAAGTGTATGTGCAAGTTGGCGGCAAGCAATTCAAGTAGAGCTGGGTGCTAATATACTTGAAAGAGTAATTTACAAAGGGCAACAAGACATAAAATTTTACTGACTATTTTAATGCAAACATCACTCACAGCTTAGTGGTACTTAAGCAACCAGCAACTGCATAAATGTGAGCATGTTATGTGGCTCCATTTATTCTCGATCTATATCACAGCACGCCGGCCGGTGAGTGCATACAACCTAGCAAAATAACGTTACACGGCATGTTACTTCCCCTATGCTTTGATGGAGCACGATGTGTCATTGACGTTTCTTCCATTTAGTGTTATCTCCAGCTCGTGCGCGGGTACGAAGTGAGCGCCGACGTTTGGAGAACGAATCCAATGAACGTGTAACAATCCCTATCCAGCTTCTTGATGCTGCAGGAGAACACGTGTCCCGCTTCAAGAACACTTTCGCCCACAAGCGACAGCCGGGATGTTTCGTGGGCCTTGTCCACGAACACATTGATGCTGCTTACAGCTGAAAAGGGGTACACAGTTGTAACGGGGTGCCCACTGCCCGGTCGAATAGAAATTAAAAAAAAAAAAAATCGTCTTCAACGGTGGGTCGCACTTCGTAAGCGTCCATTGCGGTGCGCGAGACAGCCGC